GGGCTGCCCACTACCGGTGAGTGACCGTCGGATGGTACTACTTTGCAATGCTTTATGGGAAATTTTGAGTCCCCTATATGAGGCATTGGAATTGATTGCTCAGACACCCTTCAAAATGGCGATAACCCCCATATAGTCGCCTAGATAAGGGTTAGGGATCCATTCCAGACACAGCCAATGTTAGCATCGCTAATGCAAGCTAGCTTAACTACAAAAGGCAGATGTCTTGCAAGTGTTTAATCTGTGGGAAGTTCAATCGATTATCAATGAGGAAGTGATGGAATATTTATTCGTATAACATAACAGCAGAGGTTCTTGCCCGAGCTTGACTTAAGAGGAAAAGGGCCCACTTGGACTGATGTGGTAGATTGATTCAGTCTCTCAGTGGCCTCAACACAAGTTCACAATCTCTATCTTGTTTTGGTCCCAGCATGCTCTCCACTTGTTCCAGCTCTGTAACTTTTCATCAAACCCGTCCATCACTCAGAGCCGCCTCTTGTCGTCAGCCATGAGGGACACCTGTGTTTCTGCCATAAGGCAGCAGTTATCATCAAGCTGTCTGGTATCTGTCACTACAGCTGAAGCTATGTGGAAGCCTTTGCTGTCAAAACCTGTCAAATTTCACTGAGTCTTTAATGAGAAAAAGCCAAGTTGAAACCACAGGCACAAGTATGTGTGTGTGTGTGAAAATGAGAGTGTGAGGTAGAGCAGGCTGAGGGAACAGGTGCATGGCTGGAAGCTGTGGTGGTGCTGGTAGGAGCAGTAGGGGCTCAGTGCAGTACGTCATCTCTGATAGCTGATGGTTCCAGGCCCACTAATCAAACTCAGATCATCTGCCAGTAACAAAAAGATCTATGACTGATATAACATAAAGAGCAGAGCAGTGGGATGTATATTGATCCTGCTTCATCTTACAAACTGCCAGATGATTCCACAAATACAAGTATTCTAGTCCTTAGTGGCCCATGCTTTAAAAATATGTTTGTATGTTGTATAAAAAGACAGTTTCCTGCAAAACCAATTTTCAATCAAATTTGAAAACTCTCTTTGGTTTCTCTTCTGTTCTCTTTACACCTGGCGATATTGTAATCAACTCAAGCGTGATTGTATTTGACTATGCACTCAAACCAAATCCCCAAGGTCTTTGCTGCTCTCAGCTATGTCATCATGACAGAAAGCAGAGTTTGTTACTTTCCCCGCGGCCATTTACAACCCTTATCCCCACCATGCAGGCCTGCCAACCTAACAGGCCTGTCAGAGGCCAGGTGAGCAGGCTCAGGTGAATGACCCCGGGCAAACTTTTTTTTCCAGATAAAGTGGAGAGAAAAGGAGGTGGTGGTGGTGGTGGGGGGTAGGGGTATATAAAACAGTAAGCAAGTGGAGCAGGAAAGCAAACACAGGTGGGGTAAAGAGAGAACATGCACAGAATTAGATGAAGTGTGAGAGATTTCAAGAGTGAAAGGAGGAGATATTACCTGCGCAAGTTGCTTATGACATTAACAGGTCTTCGTACAAGAGCTCTCGTAAATTAATAAAGATTTTCCTTTTGAGTGATAGATTATAACAGGTAACCCACTATAATACAACTGAATCCTGAGACACAGACGACAAAATCTTAATACAGAGGATAATGTCGCTCCATCTCACTCTGCAGTGCAGTTTCTTGAGGCTTCAGTGATCTCTGAGACTTTTAAAAGACACTTCTGATGAATGAACATGACCACATAAACTAAATAAACAAAGCAGCCCTGGCTCTTTTTTTTTTTACTTTTGGAAGAGCCAAAATAGCTTTTCCATGATCACTCCATGTTGTGCTTACCTCAGCTTTAGGCTTCTGTGTTTGCCCCTGCTCTTCAGACACTGCATTAAGAGCTTGTGTCCTTAAATGCTTTTTTTTTCCCTGTGCGATGGCAGGTCCTACGACCTCAATTTCAGAGCAGCTCTCCTCTGCTTTTACTGTTGCTAGGCTACAAAATTTGTCCTGTGGCACTTCTGTTTTTTGTAGAAGTGACTATTAAGTCTGTCTTAAATTCCTCTGTACTACTTCCCTTCATCATTGAGTGTTATTTACAAAAAGCACTAAAAACAATTAAATCATGTTGTTGCTTCTCTTTCATTCAAACTTGTTAAGGAGATGATACCACAAGTCCCGCCTCTCCTTGATTTTGATTGGGGGAAGAAGCAGAGCGCTGAGAAGACTGAACTACACTGAAAACTGGCGCTGCTGATGCAATAAATGCCGTCAGCGGTCAAAGAGGTCTAAAATGTTATCTCTGCACATAAAAAGGCTCTTTTCTCTTTGTTTTGTCCACACATTAATTGAAATCTGTGTTTGGTCGAAATAATCCATCCACCTGCAGTTGTGGCATAGCAAGACGCTGATCTAAGCGCACGATTATTAAACACCTGTGCCTCAATAAAAGGCTTAGACCAGAATGCAGGCAGGTTTTTTAAAATCTAGATGACTTATAGTGAAAGTCCACACTGCTGCTCACTAGTGATTATTGAAGTGTGTCCAGGCATCGTTGCTCTTTTTGCTGCATGGGTTGCTGTGGCAGTGATGTATGGAACTTTTTACATCGATGAAGCAATGGGCTTGTTATGTTTCCAAATCTTGTGGTTAAAATAATTTTGCAGAACACCTTTGTGACAAACTGAGGGAGGCCTGAAATGCTGCAGATGTAGGTTACTACATCTACTTTACACCATCTTTTATCTCATTTTGAAGAACTTAAAAAGAAGTCCAACTGGCCGTCCCAGTTTCTCAACTCCAAGCTCTTGAACTTCTTCTCCAGCTCCCAGTAAAAGACGTTTCCTTAACACAATATCAACCTTTTTTCTTTTAAAGAAAAAATCCTGCTCCTACATTTCAATCAGTGTTTCTCTACTGTGAGCTACTTGCAATACGTGAACTTTTCTTTGTCACTTTCTTCAGTAACTGCCCAGCAACATGAACAAACAGTGTTGTTGTTGTTGACATCTTTTGCTGCTGATCTGACAGGCCAGAGTGCTGTCTCCCTGAACCACAGGAAGCTAATGAGAGCTAATAAGTGTCATAGGTTTAAGGGACAATGAGCAGCACAATTGCATGCTGGGTTGTGTGGATCAGAGGCGGGACCCTGTCATCTTATGTCAGTCAGTGGCTGATGTACAATGGCCTCTGGTCACAATTAGAGTGCTGTGTGTGTGTAAGCATGAGTGGATGCACATGCCTATTATTAACCCTTAACCCCCCACAGAGAGCTGGCAGGGAACACTTAGCTTTTAATGTCAATGTGTGTTTACTCCACTCTTTGATCGACAGGGTTGAACGCTGCCCATCAGCGGGATGTGTCAGGACTGAGGGAAGACCCCCTGTAGCCGGCTTCAGTGTTCAGTGAAATAGAAGCAAATACATGACTGCATATTGCAGGATGCTGATATGAAGGCTGTTTTGTGGCATTGATGACACGCAAGCAAACAAAGAAATAGGAGCTTATTTGACCGTGGCTGCACTGAATGTTTTGGTGGTTCACAAAGAGAAAGAAAATTTCAGCTCTAGGTGTTCATCAGAGTCCGAGTGTGTGTTGTTATTGACAAACAGACCGCGCTGTTTTTGCAGCACTCTAGTTCCCTCTTCTGGCAAGCGGATTTATCATTAACTTAAAGAAAATCATTATGTTACAGCACAGGTACATGGTGAGCTTTTGCTTAACTATACTGGTGTCCTTAAAAAAATGTTCTCTTAAAATTTCTCGAGCTCTTATTGCCTGTTTGAGAAATCCAATCATGTTTAGATCTATTCATCCACACATGTAAATGAACATGCAGTGTTATGTAGGATTGTCTTTTGATGGAAAGACTGGATTAGAAAGTAGAAAGAGAACATAGTGTGGCTGGCTTTAAGTCCACATCAGTACTGAATGTTTTTTTTTCACTTTTTAAATTATGTCCCTGTTTGTAGCAGGGTCTGCTTTGAGGCATCTGGTCAGGCCTCAGGACCCATTTCCACTCCTTTCATTAAAGTTTTGACCCTATTATAGTAAATTACTGTCACCCACTATGTTGTAGTCAATCAATCAATCAATCAAATTTTATTTAAATAGCGCCAATTCACAACAGTCGTCATCTCAAGACGCTTTTCAAAGAACAAGAGCAGGTCTAGACCACGCTCATAGTTTGATGACCAAGAACCAACCTAAGATGGGTTTTGGCCCATCTCAACTAACATGAGTAGCAGTGGCGAGGAAAAACTTTCTCTTAACAGGCAGAAACCTTGGGTAGGACTAATACTGCACTACACTTCTCCATTCAAAACACATACAGAATAGATAAATGTTTTGTAAGAGAATAAAAGTACTTACTGTGCTTCTATCATGAACATGATAGGTATTAGTCAAAATAAGCTTGAAAATATTAGCATATCAGATATTTGCAAAAATCAAATATAGTTTATCCAATATATATTGATAAAAAGTCTTCTGCACACCCTGTTCAATGCCTAGCTCCACATGTCTGTCCTACTGGATTTGAAGCAGTTGTAGTCCTCGTCCCGTGGGTCACTGGTTGGACTCTCGGCCGTGACCTCTTATTGCATGTTTTTCCCCTGCTCTCTTCTCACATATTTCCTGTCTCTCTGCAGCTGCACTGTCTAAAATCTAACACAGGCAAAGAGCCCCAAAATAAAGCTAGACCTTGTTTGTGTTGCACTAACTCTTTGACTGTGGATCCCTTTGGACAAAAGCCATCTACTGAATCGAATTTAACATTGTGACGATCCTCACCTTCAGGATTGTGTTGTCCTGTTGTTCAAATCTAGACACTTTGATTCTTAAAAAAATTGGCTAGATTTTAAGGCTTCAAACTGGATTTCCTTGAGTGGAAACAGCAGCTGGATTTTTCTTGTGGAAACCCGATAGTTTTGTCGGACAATAATTTTATAACTGCCTGGAGCAGTTGAGCACAGAACCAGTGCAATACCAGAAGAGATAAACATGCATGACTTGAATTGGATTTCTGTGCTAGAATTGTGCCTTTGTGCTCCAGCCTGAGGCCTCACAGGTTAAGTTTGATAGTTGGTTTGTAAGTGCAGAGCAGCAGGGGAGAGGATGCTGGTGTGGAGCAGCAGCAGTAGCAGGAAGAGGACTTGGCAGCGAGGTGTTGGGAGGTAAAGCCAGCTCAGACCAGGTTGATGGGCCTGCAGCCAGCACACATGTGATAGCAGAACCCTGTGTTCTATACAGAGCAGGTGCGAAGGCCTTGTCTCCTCTCCTTTCATCCATCCCTCTCACAGCTATGAGGCTTGGCTCTCCCTCTCTGGTTTCTCTGAGGTTCAGCTCTTTGTCTTCCAGGCGATGCACTCCTCCATGGATCTCTCCGACCATCTCTCCATTTCCGTCCTCGCACCTCCCGGCCCCCTCTCCCCCCCTTCCGTCCCAGAGTATCATACTTCATTTGCTCAAGATAACACATCAGCTTCAACGCCCATCCACAAACTCTGTCACCATGATGCCCACAGATGGTAACTTCCTGTGGTCCTGCCCAGTGATTGGTGGAGAGACTTCCAAACAGAGAACAGCTGGTGAGGGATGATATATCACCGAGCGTTTGCACTTTCATTTTCAGGGTTGTCTTGTTAAAGCTCCCGATCCAGCATCTGGCAGGAAATAGACACAAAGGCAGAGAGAGGGAGCGAGAGAACAACCTGTTCTTTGGCAGACCTTAACAAAAGGCTGACACATGTCTGATGAACACACAGGGCTGCCTCAGAACAGTAAGAGCTGTTATGAAGGGAAGAGTCTGACGCACGAGAAACAAAGGCTAGAAAAGAGGATGTGAACATTTTATGAAACATATCTTTGTTTGGAGGATGAAACTACAAAAACGCCTCATGAGCATCAGGACTACATGTATGATTCAAAGTATTAATCTGCCTTTTTATGAAGGTATAAATTATGTCAATTTTGACCACATTTCCTAGAATTATACATCAAGTGCTTTTTTTCATTTTTAATCAGAGAATGGTGAATACTTCTTTGAGGGAGGGAAAATTCAACCCCTTTTCAAAAGGTTTGGATGACCTGTGTGCTCATTTTTATCAGCACATCTGAGATGGTATGGAGATGCTTAGGTTTCCATTTTGAAAAGTACAATCGATGCTGAACAATATGTTCAAGTTCTGGAGCAACAGCCACTTCCATATTCCTGCAAGACAATGCCAAACTACAGTCTGCATGTTCTACAACAGCACGTGTGCATTGGTGGAAAACTTAGGTTGCTCAACTAGAACCTGTCTGCAGTCTAGATTCATTGATAAGTAACAGTGCAGTTGGAATCCTATATCAAGCAAGAGTTGGACATTTCACCTTCAAACTCTTCTCTGTTCTCAAACATTTAGTGAGTGTTGATGAAGGAAAAGTGTAAACATGCCCCCATCCCAACGTTTTGAAACATGGTCCAGGCATCAAATTTTAAGTATATTTATTTGTCGCTTTTTTTAATTGAATATAGTCTGCTGTGCCGCTTTTAACATTTTATACAGCATCCCAACTTTTAGTGGGAATTGTGGTTGTATTTGTCTGCAATAATGGAAGAAAACTCAAACTGTATATTATTTTGAATTTATCTTGGATAGATTATTTTTCATATCAATCAGAGACAGGTGAGGGGGTTTGATCTATTGCTCATCTGTTATAAATATTTGAATATACTGTCTTGTATTATTGTTATAACTGCATTTTTGCACTTTTTGTCTTGTCTGTGATGCTGCTGTGACAAAACAATTTCCCCCATGGGGGATCAATAAAGGAATAAAAAGGAATATTCTATTCTATCTATTCTATTCTATTCTAGATAGCACATAAAAAGATGCAGTTCATTTTTTAAACACCAGAGAGAGCCATTTCACAACCAGAATTTCCACCTGCCTTTTCCTGGTATGTTTGTGATGTGATTAAATCACACTTGTAAGCGTTAGAAAGATCAAAAATAAACGGAGCAGAATCACAAAAAACAACAACCTTTAATACCTGGTGTCACAGTGTTAGTGGAACTGTAGATATACTGAAATGTTGATTCTAAGTTGTACAGAACAGATCCAAATATGCCATTTTACAATGCAGATCTCTTTGTGTCACTGCGGTCAATTGAACCATCAGCAACCGACTGAACTAGTGACACTGTTTACCTTCTTTAAAAACAGAAACCTTTTAAACAGACAGCATTTTCTCCTGACAATTATCCACTTTACTGAGGTGACTGATTGAAACTGAACAGACCAATCAGGCTTCAAAGAGTTCCTTTTAAAACAGATAATGCAAATACAACAAAAAAAAAAAAAAATAGACGTGTATGAAAAAGAAACAAAAATAGTTACACACACATGAATCCAGCCTGTCAAAAAAAAAAAAAAAAGAAGGCTGATACACATTTTTATATCATATGGCTGAACAGGACAACAGAGTTTCTTGAGAAATAGAGGGGGCAAAAATCTGACTGAAAACCTGACGGCTGGGTGATAGAGTGACAATGCTACCTTTCCAAAGATCTTTAGAGGCTACAATATTGTAATATTTAACATGTAGAAGTCAGAGAAAAATCATGCAGCTTCATCTCTTGACACAACAGGATATAAAATATAAATTGCTGCTCTTAACCGAACTTGATCTGAGGATAGCTGCGAAGTACATCTTTATACTTTTGTCAAAGAAACTTTGTGTTGCCTCTTGCTTAAGCCCCAAATCTTTGAATCAGTAAAACCGTCCTCCTCTGACCCCTGTGCTCTTGTTGGCTGTAACATCAAGCCCTGAAAACCCCTTTCTGGCCCTTGTGTAGAGCATGATTTGTGCAACGTAGCACTGCAGTGATTGTAATGTCTGCTGTTTGGCCCTTTTGTTTGTTGCATATTACAGATTCTACCTGTTAAGTGGTGCCAGCAAACATAAAGCATGTGTTCAGAGATGGAGTGGCCATGACTTTGTTCAACTGTAGTGAGTTTGTGCTAACTAAAGATTCAAAAGTGGTTCTTTTTTTCGTGTTGAGATGCATATTTCGCACTGTTTCAGATATATACTTTTTACATCCTGGTGACGTCAGCCCTGATTCAGTCGCAATCTCTCAAATGTTTTAACTTGACGCTGATTTCAGCTGCTTAACTCATTCGTTTAACTTGGCAGGCACCATACACACACACACACACATTCACACACACATGCGCACACATCACAGATCATATAAAGAAACAATGAAAACCAATATGCAGTGCAGCGTTGTACATAGAAGCGTTAAAATAGTTCCCACCCTGTAAAAACTGTTAATATGTTACAAATACATGGTCAAAATGCACATACAGTAGACAGCTCTGTTTCAGGAAATCTGCTTGGCACGATTGTCATAAAGACAACAAAAGCTTGAGGATTTTGAACTCACTTAGCGGGGAAAAGCACCAGACTTCCAAAGGTAGAAATTGGACTGGCTTTGATATCGAATAATCATGCTCATACAGTAGATGAGGTCAGTGAAGCGACACAGGCTACAGGTAAGATATTCGGAAGTTAAGGCTACAGATAATGAAGATTATAAAACGGAATACTCGAGCTAAATGTACAAGAAGAGGGAGCTGTGGACAATCAGCTACTGTTGAGCTTAAAGAAGCTACTGTTGTTAACTAGAATGATCACCTTTCTTTTGGGTGCTGTAGCCAAAATGTGTCATGAGATGCTACATGAACTCTGCCAACTTACACCAAGAGGGAAGGGGGAAGAAACCAGCAGTAAATGGCTTTTTTTTTTTAAAGGGAATGGCTTTGTATGGTAACAAGAAAAAAGGAAGATTTGAAAATTCAATCCCTTGCGAGGAACTTGTAGTTGGCATCAATTTTGGCGCCTCTATGTGCCCCCGTTTGATCTTCTTGCAAATGTAAAAATCTTAAATGTTTCCTCATCAAATCTTCTTAACTGTTTTGGCAGCATTTGGTTAATCACTTCACAACATATCCCGACATTTAGAAACAGTCTTCCATGATTCTGATGGTCTTGTTTGCTCGTTTCGGTCTTTTAGAGGCATCAATTTAATTTTAGTCTGTTTTTTTTTTTTAGTCAGACAAAAACTCTTAACAGGAGCTCCACCACAAACTGAAGACCTTTGAGTCCCACCCCGAGGATCAAATTTAAAGTTAAATTAAACAGATGGGTAAAATTACAGCAACACAGATGATGAAAATCAAATAGATTGTTTCTACATACTGCACTACAAATGTATGGTGACATGCTGTTTTCACTATACGAACCCATCCCATGACATAAAGTCTCCTATCACATGTCCAAAGCCGTTTAAAATGGTAATGTACAAACTTGCATAGATAAAGTGATATAGTATAGAGCAGCTTCAGAATTACGCGCCCAAAAAAGTAACATTCGTGTGTTTTATCCTCTTATCTGGCATCCCTGTGAGGAAATAGCTGCTTCTTGTTGGAGGTCTAACTACCAACAGAACAAAACATCGACACTCAGACCACTAACATATGCAAGTTTGCAATTAGAGACAGAAGTACATGTCAGAGTCTCAAAAAAACAGAGAGTGGAAAATCGGACAGTTTGGAATGATGGTTGGGTGTGAGTTTGAAAAGAGCTCAGCCATGTAAAACTTCAGCTTAGGAAGGCTGTTTCATCTTTCTTTTTACAGTATGGCTAAAAACAGTGTGGCGTATGGACGACATCATAGAATCATCAGGATATAAAGGGCTTCACTGACCGCCTGCAATGCTTTAAAATACAGCTAAACATGCTTTCCCTGGGATTATTTGGATTTCTTTTTGATTTTTTTTTATAATGCACAGGGGGAAATGCCGGATTTTGGCTATTCTCAATTTTAAGGCTATTCATTTCTATTTGGCTAAACCACCACCTGGGGACTGAGAGTTTCAGGAGTGACATCTCTTTTAATGTAGTATTAAAATGGTTCCACAACATGTGGATACAAAGTCTTCAATAGACTTTCACATTAATGCTGGACTTAAAGGGGAGCGCCACTCAAATGTGCACATTTCTCGATCTATGACCATGAAAATCAACTTAAAAGAAAAAAAAAAAAAAGAAACTCTGAGAAACACTGTTCATCTATGAAATATGTCAATCAAAGTGATGGCAACAGTTATTGAAAATGATTAAAAAAAGACATTTGGTTATAAAAGATAAGCTGAGTGTGTGATATTAGCCTTGAGTGGCAATCCCCTTTAACAAGTGTACCTTACAGTTTGGAAAACATTTAAAAGTACAACACGCAGACACTACTCTGAGCACGGTTCTAGTAAAAGCAACAGGTTATAAAACATTGACATCATCAAGAGGACGTGCTGTACATTGAGTTGAGAGTGACGACAGCCTCCCATCTCTACCTCAGTCGTGAGTGTGATGGAAGAATCACGCTCTGTGCAAATCGAGTGAACACCAAACATGCCTGGTGTGACTCTAATGCTACGGACTGAATCTGTAGAGCTACATTGAGCGTGGCGGCGGTGGCGGTGGGGGAAAAAGCTTTTGTTGCGTACGACAAACCGACAAAACAGAGCGATAAAGTAAAAGTTCTTGCATGATATTGTCCATACAAGTAAGAAGCATTTCTTAACTTTGACTTTTTCATTGCCTATAATAAGTTCTCAAAATACCCCACACAACAAAAACCCACATCAAAGTCCGCTTGGAGTTTCCCCAACTTCCTCCACGTCCCCAAACCACCGACGCCTCACACACACACATGCGGACACGGCGGTCCTTAGTTAAGTCCAACCGCTTCTGACCCTTAACCTCTCCTTCCAGGCCGAGGTGTATGGTCGTTTCCCCTCCACGCCTCTCTCATGCAGAGCGATGGATCCCGAAGCGGCTCCGGGCTGCTGCAGGCTCAGCCCGAAAAAAAAGAAGCGCTCAAAGCTGATGGGAGGAAAAGAATGTAACAGGGGCAAAAAAGGAAAATAAGATGGCCCATCCTCAAAGCGGCTCCGGCTTTATTGGCATGTTTTAGGTTGGCAATGGATCGTCATCGCCTTTGCTGCACTTGCACTTGCAGCAGAGGACAATGGGAGTGGCCAGGAGGAGGAAGGGAGAGGCAACCAGCAGGAGCAGGCCGAAGCCGGCGAAGATCCCAACAACCTGGGGAAAGGGGAAATTATACCAGTTATTAAAATGCCACTATCCTGTAGTTACTGTAGCAGAATATGATAAATTTATTTAAAAGCTGCAATATCAAACATGTAAATCTTTAGTAGGGAAACCTAAATGATGGTACACTTTTAAACTATCTATAAAATATTAAACTTCATAAAGTTTTCCCTTTTTTAAAATAATTACAGTCTCATATTCTCTGTTTTGTATCACAACTGCATTACCACATAATGGCCAGCAGGTGGCTCACAATGCTTTAAAATAACAAACCTTTATCTACAATTTTTTTTGTTTTTTTTTACATAATTACTGAAAGTTTTTGTTTTTCAGACACTTAACAAAATTGATGATTCCTGCGGTGACAGTGTGACACCAAGAATCTCTCTGAACTTGAAACAGAAGCCCTGATTTGTCAATTGAACAACCAAAAAGACTGACTTGTGGGAGGCTTTCTTAACTCCCTGTCCCAGCATTTACACCGGGACACCTAATGTTTGTGTTGGTATTTGTACTAAACATAAGGTGTACAGATCTGAACACTGATTAACATTGCTGAGTTTTTGTCTACTTTAGACTCAGATTACACCACAAGGGGGAGCCAGAGACCATTGAGTCTGGAACCACAAAATGGAATACATAACAGGCAGTCACATGCAATGGTGACTTATAATAGCACATTGCCTTTCCTCCCTCATTTTATCCTCTCTATACTATGACATTTTCATCATAGTATACTTCGAGGTTTTATAATGCTATACTATAGTTTATCATGATATACTATGACGTTTGTAACACAATATACTATGACATTTTTCTAGAAATACAATACTATAACTTTTTTTATCACTTTGTGACATTTTTTAAACATACTTAACTATGACATTTTTTTAACATCCTATGCTATGACCTTTTTTATTTAACTTAACTAAGGCATTTTTATCATAATATATTATGAAAAATATTCCTTAACATACTATAAATATATTTTTTTTTTATCATACTATACTATAACAATTTTTTGACATCCTATACTGAGACCTTTTTTTAATCAAACTTTTAGTCAAATTTTAAACATACTATACTGACATTTATTATCATACAATGGCATTTTTTTAAAATACTTAATGATGGCATTTTTTTAAACCTACTATACTATGACATTTTTTATACTATACTGTGACATTTTTATCAGACTATACTTTGATTTTTTTTTATCATACTATTTTATGACATTTTTTTAAATGCTTTACTATAAATGTTTTATCATACTAAACCATTAACTTTTTTATCATACTATACTATATTTTATATCATACTATTTTACAACATTTTTTTAATAATACTATACTTTGACATATTTTATTATACTCAATTGACATTTTTTTACAAATATAAAAGGGCTTTTCTCTTTCATTCTATACTATACTTTTGTCAAACTGTATGACGTTTACTATGACGTTTTAAATTATACCAAACTATGAGATTTTTATCATAATATTCTATGACACTTTTTTATCAGACTATACTATGACATTTTTTATCACACTATACTATGACTTTTTTTCTTTTTACATACTTTACTATAACATTTTTGGAACATGCTATGATATGACCTTTTCTATCATACTAAACTATGACATTTTTATTTAAATTATCTATAATATTTTTTCAACATTTTTCAACATTTATTTCATTCTAAAATGTTTAACTTTTCTTTAACTTTACTATGACATTTTTTACATACTATACTATGACCTGTTTTATAGTAAAATATTAAATTTTAATCATACTATACTATCACAGTTTTATCATACTATACTATGACATTTTTAACATACTAAACTATGACATATTTTTTATAAAACAATTTAAAATGTATCATACTATACAATTATATTTCTTTCACGTACCATACTTGACATTCTATTATACTATACTTTAATTATTTTATCATACTACAATATGACATTTTTATCACTCTATACTATGACCTATTTTATCCTATACTATGACATTCTTATTATACTTTACTATGATATTTTTATCAGACTAAACTATGATTTTTTTACAAACTGTTCTTTGACCTATTTCATTTTATTTATCAAACTGTACTCTAACCTTTATATCTTATCAAAATGTTTTATTTTCATTATACTATATTATGAAATTTTAATCATACCATGTTATGAAATTTTTTAGACTATACTATAATTTTTGTTGTTCTATACTGTGATTTTTTATCGTACTATACTATGATTTTTTTTATCATACTTAACTGGTTTTTTGACATACTATACTCTGACATATTTCATACTACAATATATTATTATCAAACTATACTGTGACCTTTTATCATACTAAATTGTAATATTTTATCAAACTATACCCTGACAATTTTATCATACCATACTATGACATGTTATTATACTTTACTTTGATATTTTTATCATATCTATGACGTTTTCACTCTTCTATACTATGACGGTACTATGATGCGTTGGTGCCCCGCCAGGCGCTAGTTTTATATGGTTTTGTGGTGGAACTGGCAGTATATCATCCATCCATTCATCATTGCAGTGTATTTGAGTATAATTTGCCTTTGATAGACCCAGATGATGCCAACATGAAAAGGACATGACTTCTCTTTTGACTAATGGTGTTATTTTTAAGACACATAGACCTCATGTTCTCAGATACAGCCAGGGAAAGAGAGGATGTGCTGTTTTGGGAGGGTTTGCCCTTGGACATTTTGTATTTATGAAGGAGTGAGAGTGAGGCTTTTTTGGATGCTGAGGAACAGTGTGGGGGTGAAATGAGGAGAGCAGGGGAGAGACAAAGACGCACAGAGCAGTGAAGCTATAGCTGGCTGAACTGTAATCACATGACTAAGCCTGCCCCACTGGGCAACAGATGCCAGTGTGTGTGCTAATGTTGACAAAATGATGAGTATGTCGGACACATTGCAGCCCCATGAATAGATAATACAACAGGGCAGAGATACAGCAAAACAACTTGGAAACAGAAGGATGAAATCAACTTCCTTCATGAGTTTAAAACACACGATCAATTTGGGAAATAATATGTAATCCCTTGTGTTTAATCCACTGATTCATACAAGGGAAATAACATCTATATAATCCTCGATCTGTAATCTGTTATTTCATTTGGTTACCTATCACTGTTGAGGGACCTTGGTTATGTAAACCCTTTTTTTTCTCAGAAAAAGGAGGACATAACAAGCTTAGCAGGATACAGCGTGACACTGACCACAAGACACTTGTCGATGCACGCGGATCAGGCTGTCCTTTTTTCTATTGTGCAGTGTAGATAATACAAGCCCAACACTGACAGTGATTGAATGAACCGTGGAGATTGAGAGATTGAAGCAGCACACGTGGACGGCCACATGCTGCAGTGTGGGGGGGAGTCTTGAGTGGGTGGTGAAAGGCAAGTAGGGGGGAGATGGGTTTCTCACCTGTGTTCTGTGCCAGATAACAGACGCCCTGGAGTGGCCCAGTTTGTTTCGACAAGGCCCTTTGTCGTAGTGGATCAGGAGAAAGTCGTCCTGTCACACAGACACATAGTACAGATAAAGACGGACCATTAGCAGTCTGAAAGACGCCTGCAGCTTTTCTCAGAATTTTTTTTTTTTCAATGACCTGCAAGAAGCAATCGTCTGCGCTCACATGATTAGGATTACAAACAGCACCGAGGCTCATTCAAACCCAAAACAAATACATCTTCTTCCTGTCTTATCAACACCAAGGTTAGGCGTCAGTTTCCTGAGAGTATAAGCTATCGCTGTCGCAGGGAGACAAATGATGTCTACATCAAGGATTATCACAGTGTGCAAACACAGGATAAGAGATAACACAGCATACTTTTTATTCCATCCTTCAAATGATTGAGGTTCCTGATAAACCAACCGACTGATACAAAAACCCATTAAAAAGCAGGTCAAAAGTCTTCAACAGAAAGAACCTGTTCACTTCTAACCCTACAATAACAAATACAACCACAGAACCAGAGCCAACTCATTTAGATTTTTAAGAAGTGGACAGTCAGGCAGGATATACTGTGGGATGAATATTATTCCTAAAGTCCAATATTTTAAATGAAGATGCTGCAACTGGTTTATTAAGTAACTGAAAGGTGGGTTGATATATTTCTAAGCCGAACTGTTCAGAACGATAGCCCTGAAGTTGAACAATTCAATTGCTAGTGTTAAAGGGATAAACCAGTGTTTTTTGAGTGGGTTTGCATGAATTAGATGCCACTTGTGAGTGTACCAGCCACAATGGATGCCAGTCAGCTTGACCCCTCGAATGAGAAACTGCCAAGAGAACCAGCAGTCTCACTAGGCTAACAGTTTGCTGCAGATGGGGCCACATAATCACGCTAATTTTGAGAGACCCCAGCCAAAGCACAACAGAAGCCTTTACACAGAGGAACATGGTTTATATTTTCTTGGTTTAACTGAAATGATCAAGATGAGACTCACATCCAGAGACTCCAGACAGTACCAGCAGAAGGCGTGTTTGCAGTTCTTGCACATCATTTGCGCGCAGCCCTCGTCCCTCTCGATGTAAACTTTACATTTAGGACATCGCTTGATGGGTGCATCATCTTCTTCATTCTTATAGAAAGAGCTGCAGAAAGATGAGAGAGAGAAAGATAGAGAGAGAGATGCAGCTTTGAGTGTTTTGCATTCCTATCAAGACAGAAAATCCAAAATCTCTTAACATTCACTTTACAAGGGCTGCTGGGGATGAGATTGCTTTTATGCAGCGATCAATATTTACAGTCTTTGACGTAACGGGATTGTGTGAAACGGTAGATAGCTTTTGCTTAGGAGCTGACAACTCTTCCAAAAACCACCAATCACTAAATGGCCTTGAACTCTCTCCAAACACTCTTCGTCTTCCCTTCTGTTGGTATCAGATTGTCTGTATCTATTTCTCCTGTTTCAGTGAAATGCTGACTCGTAGAATAAGGAAGCGAGCAGGTAGCTCTCATTCTGTGTACCGTCCTGGGGCTGAAAACAGACCTATTAAATTCTGGTAATATAGGTGTTATGGACTGTAATAAAACACTCGGGCTGTAAAGTTTTTTAAGACACCCTGCAGTTAACAACTGTGGTTCACTCGCCACGACTCCTTATATTTAAGAGCAGACCTTCTAATCCTCCCCTCCCTGCACTGTGGCCTTTTAGCTCAGCCCTGAACCCTTACAGATAGAGGAAAGCTCTGCAGAGCTAATGACGTCTGAGTAAGAGGATATCACAAAGAAACAGGTCAGCTGCACATGTCGCCAAGATGCCCTCCTTTTCACCTCACATACAGATCCCCTATCTTCAAATGAATAATAAGTCCATCTCATTGACTTCCTCAGATTGTTTTATATCTGCCTGCACTCTGGCTGATGCCCAACCGAGCAGCCAGAGCAGTTGTCAGTCTGTATTGAAGGAGACTGCTGCTCTGAACAGGACGTGTGGGTGAAACTCCAACTCTGAGCTCCTGAACGTAACTAAAGCTCTCTCACACGTCCCTCACAGCTCACAGTGTTTCCATGTCTTGTTGGACTAGGAGAGTGCTCAGCAGTCCTGATTCCTTATTGGCGGCTTGTGTTGTCTTGATTTAACAAAAGCCAAAATAGTGCTGTTCAGAGCTGGTTCCGATTGCTGAGCTGAGCCAAATGATATGGATCACTAAAAGAGAGCCAGCAATCAATCATTTCTATCGACTGATTAATTCTTGGCTAATTAAAGGGGCTGTTTTCATTGAATTATGCATCTATATTGACGAGTCAATGACTTCCTGGCTTATGGTCCATAAAATGTCAGATGACATTTTTAAACCACATCAGAAATGGTTGAAAGCCTTGATGAGCACCAGAATAGATGTGGATATAAATGTGTTCAATTAGAGAGGAAAACGTTTCAAACGTACCTGTTTTCTCCTGGTAGGAAGGAGGTAATGGGTAGGTTGTTCTCCTGGCAGACCTGCCCAGGGTGCCAATTTGCCTTGCAGGCCGAACAGAACTCGAGGGCACAGACGGCGCACTGGACCAGCTGGGGCAGCGCTGGGGAATCTGCCTCCTTTAGTTGGCACACGGCCTGGCAGGTTGAGGAAGGGCACCATGTCCGGCATGGGTCCAGCAGCACCTCTGATGGAACAAAATCGGTGCCAGTGTCATGGACAGCAACTATTTCTTAAGTGTCAGCAAACCCCAAACTACACGGAAAGAGGTAGATGCTGAGTTTAAATGTTGAATGTTTTATGCCGCAAAAAATGACATTGAAAAAGAAACTTTCAGCTTCATTGTTGTGAGATTACCGCAGCGTAAAAACCAGAAAAAATCAGTACTAAGTGAGAAAAAATGATATTTCTGTGATTAAGTTGGAGAGACACTCTGAGAAATAGATAGGAGGCAGTGTACTACTTTCAGGATCCAAAACACAGAACCGTCACAGATTACAAACAAACACGACAAAGCAGGTTTCATCATCGATAACTGCTGTTATCAAGATTTCACTAACACTAACTAAGCCCCCTTCCGTCCTGCATGTTTTGGATGTTTCCTGCTCCACCACACCTGATTCAAATGATCAGCTCGTTATTAAACCATTACAGAGCTTGATAACGAGCTGATCATTTGAATCAGGTGTGTTGGAGCAGGGAACATCCAAAACATGCAGGACGGGGGGGCTCGAGGACTGGACTTGAGAACCACTGCTTTAAACTAAATATTATATCACACTCAGCTGTTACCTGCCTGTGTTTTTATATGAACACATTTTTTCTTGCTGTATAAATAATCGTCATATCAGCTTCCATGGCTTCTATAAATTCTTCTAAAAATGGCCTTGTCTCTGGCAGCGTTAGGTAGAAAATAGACCATTCTTCATGTGTTTTGCCAGTTCTCTCCAGTTCATAGCATGATGCACTTGCCCCTTGTATCCTCGCCTTCTTTCCTCTTGCATCCCTGCCAAGAACTCGGTGCACACATTCCACTTGCACTCTTGGCTCGGCCTGCGAAATATGGAATGGTTACAGCGCCTGTTCTGCCTGACTGGACTGGGACATTGATGAGACGGCTCACTGCCCTCATCCAGGCGGCGGCAACGGCTCTTTCTGAGTCATTCGGTGGGTTTTTTGTTCATTTACAGGACCCCCCTGCTGCGTTGCTATACATGTCTTTGTCTTTGCCTCTATTTTGTGCAAGCGAGATCTGCATGTTTTGAGTACAATTTGTGCCTGTGTGTAGGTGGAGAACCTGCAGGGCGAGTACCATCAAAGAGTGATAGCACAGCTTGGTTACAGCATACTCTGCTGGCAAGGGCGCTCTAATATTACTGATTAGCATGTCTGTTCTGACAGCACGCAGCATAGCGACACAGACCTGCCATTATCTTTCCGGCGAGCCTTTCAGCAGCGGGTTAACATTTATTCAACAAACCGCAGACACCGAACACCGCAGCAGAGATAAAGAGGATTTAACTAAAATATCATGTGATGCTGAGAGACCTGCCTCCATCAGAGTCAGGCAGACACTTTAGGAGTCTAGAGCCAAACCAATCCTATTAGAATCTCTTTAAACAAAGTCTGGGAGGCTTTCCCTTTCATGCATATTTGATGGGAAATAGTGTTACACTTTGATGAGGCTGACAGGCTTGAGTTTAAGTACTTGAGTACAAATCAGAAAATGTAAGGCTTGAGTACCTGTCATGAGAATACGTCTTGCTTGTGTGATATTTTGCACTTCGTGAGGTGTTAGATTCACATCAGAAGCCAGAGCTGAAGACTTATTTTTAAATCACGGGGAAAGCAATTAAGTATCAACACGTGTCAGAGCTGAAGACTGGTATTTCTTAAGCAAACAATCATCTCTCAAATCCTTTTCTGTTAGCTTTTCTCAGGTGCCCTGTGGCATAATTCAGCAGCAGAGAGGATGACTCCAGGCGAAGAGAACAGCACTTAAGCAACGCTTGAAAGCCGGGATTGTCGTCATACCTTGCGCATCAGTGCAATACAGTAACCCTGGAGTACAGGAGGGCTCACATGTATCTGCGACATACAGCTGCTGCCCACACGTTAACACGCCGAGGAACTGTGGAGGTAACACTGACGTCGTGCGTTGACTCACCTCTTTCAAACTGCAGCTTCTTGTATCTCTGCATCATCTCGGTGGCCACCATGCACTCAATCTGCCAGGAGAGGAAAATGGATTTTGGTAGGCAGGAAATGAGCAGGTCAATTTGCATATTTATAGGCAAGGAGCTGCAAGAATATGAAAATCATTTCCAGAACAATGTCAAATTCAAATTTCTACAAGATTAGAATCGCCATTTGCTTACAAATAAGGGCCTTAACTCCAGAAAACCACGATTTAGTCAAGGTGCATACCCACTAAAGTTTCAGCATTCTCATTTATTGGGCAATGAAATGAGCATTCAGCCTTAGTGAAAGAGCAGTCAATTATGAGGTGCAGGCATAGCTGTCAGGGCAGACGGGGATGAGGCATGCTCTGTCTGACTGGCAGGAGTAACCGCGGCTCCATTAAGGACCTGTGACACTGATTGATTAGAAACATGTGGCCGTGCTGTGCCGTGCAGCGCTGTGCTGTGCCTACAGGCCTGACAGACCAAGTGAGAGAGTGAGTGAGTCCATCTGACAAACAGCCCACAGGGATGAGGAGCGTTTTGCCCGCAGATTGACCTCTGCGTGGAAGCCAGGATCATTACAATGAAGTAAACACTCTGGCAGGTGGAGCGCAGTGGTCATCTTGAGTCAAGCTGGAGCTTTGAGGCGGCGTAAAGGTGTTAACCCTCCTCCTGTGTTAGGGTCTGTACCGAGACATTTTTGTTTTTAAATGTTTAAAAGAACCACCTAAATGAGCTTTTTTGCATCACGACTTTTTGACTTTGTCAGGAACCTCTATTTCAACAAGATAAAAATTAAAAATTTAAATTGACTAAAATATAAAATGCTTTTATTAAAATTATGGCACTTGTGGTGTTAGGGTTGCTGTTGACCCGGTTAGATCAATATCTAATAATCAGAGCAAAAGCTGAAATCATAAGTGCACTGACAGGAACCACACTGAAAGTCAGATCCTCTTTCAATCATGTGAGATTTAGGAAATTCTCATTTTGTTGTGTTTTTCCCTGCACAAAAAAAAACCAACAACATCGGACATGTCCAGACATGTCAGATCAATTCAGTAAAGATGTCTGTGTGAGGGGTATACTGACAAAGAAAGGCCCAGAGGACCACAACAAAAACTTTTATGAGCAATATAAAAATGAGAATCAAATTGGATGATAGAGAATTGTTTTTAGTGTAATTTACAGCTGATTTAAGACACGGGTAAAAAGCGACCCTTAACATGGTGTGTGCGTCTTAAAAGCTAACACAGGAGGAAGGTTAAAGTAACCGCACACGTGTCAGTTTTACCATTTCATGTGAAAAGGAAAAAAAAAGCAGGAGGTTCATGACGTGGAAAAAATAGACCTGTAGAGTCACTGATTTTTTTTTCTTCCTCATTTCAAGCACAGGCATCTCCAGGTCGACACGTGTTACATCCATAGACATGCACAGCCTCTGGTTGTACAAGTTCTAATCAAAAGTCTGAAAATTGCTGCAGCTGTTTGAGTACAGACGTTTTGGACATGGTAGGACATTCTCATGAGCCAAAGGAGACTGTGGGGTGTCACGAGTCAAAGAAATCTGACTTTGGCTTCTATCAATACCTCATTTTCCTGCAAGTGTCCTCTTTTTGGACAGGCAGAGTCTGGACAGCTAATTGCAGTTTCAAGGCCTTCTTTGATCAGGAGTTCCACATACTGCTTCAGGCACTGTGGGGAAAACAGACAGACAAACAAATACAGCATTGACCTAGTCAGAAAAGTTAGTCAACAAACACAGGCCTGACAGTCTCATGGCACTTTCTCTCTGTGGCCTCAGAGGAGGTCAGAATGATGGAGTGTATTCAAATATGGGGTGAACGTATCTGACCTAATTTCTTCGCTAGTTCTTTTAAGCTTTTGCTTTGGACGTTTAGACACGACTCATCCTTCTCCATAAAAAAGCCGTGATCAGCCAGAGCAGGTTACTTTTCTGAACAAGAATTAAAATCATCTCCGCTCAAAGCTGCCAGGCTACACTGGCAACAACACGGTGAGGAAAATTAAGCATTTCTCATTATGAAAGGTAATTATATCCTCCAAGCATAGATGGAGACTGCAGTTAAACAGGTCTTGAAGAAGTGGGAATATTAGACATACAACTGCAGGTGGGAGAAGACAAGTTTTAACAAGTCTGTAACTTTTTATGAACTACTCTTCCTGTTTTAAAGCTCAACTTTATTTGGCTAAAACATATCAGCCGTGACTTCGAAGCTGTTCTACTGACCTCGAAACCTTCACAGTAGTAAATGTTCAACTTTTAAGATGCAATTCAACCTTTAACTTTGAGCTTTTGTTTCTTTTTGGACACCAGTAAAACAGAATTGGTTTCTAAGTGAGTGACAAAGGTAAGATATCTAAAAGACGACAGATAGATGTGTGTCTTTCAGGATAGTCGTTGTCACATGGACTCCATTTCGACCATATAACAGTTCTCCGAAGTAGCCCAGACCAGATATCAGGCACCGCTTGTGTTTATTTTGTGGTTGACCTTTGTTGTATAAACTTTATTAACCAGACTCAGATCATTACCATGCCACCCACATTTTATTCTAGGAAGTAGCTTCTATTATTGGCACTTATTTTTGACCACAGTTTCCTGACTCCTAAACCAGTGCAACAAAGAAAAGATGGATTCTAAGATCATTACAGATTCAATCACAGTGTTGATTCTGTTTAACTAAACAAACTTGATGTCAGGTTATTTTTTTTTATATTTAAGACACGCTTTGTTGTTTTTGTCTTTTTCTGTTTTCCTGACTCACCAGTGTACAGAAGACACATTGGCACTGCGTGATGGTGGTCATCTGCTCCAGAGGGAACTCGCCAAGGCACAGCTTACAAGAGACCAGGGGATCCACGGCCAGCTCCCAGGTGGGACGGTACCGTGCCGTGGTCATCTTCACTGCCACGGAGCTGCAACACAGAAGAGAAATAAGGCGGTGTTAAATAAATGCAATAACACTCTGAAGTAAGTAAATATGAGCACTTTTTTGTGTCCATGTATGCACTAAATTCTAAGAAGATGCACTGAACACACAGGAACAGACCTGCTGTATACAGAATAGAACCAGTTCTCTGCACAAACAAAGTGCTCACCTAGTCTGTTGTGTCCGTTTTTATTCATGGCCCTGTGCTTCCTGGAATTTAAGTAAAAAAAAAACTCCTAAAAGCTCCTGAAACTCCCGCAGCAATCAGCCATCTCAGCTCCTGGTGAAATTTTCACTCAGGATGAAATAACTGCTCCTTTTTCCCCTCACCGCACGTCATCACGTCTCTTTTGTGAGAGCCAGAGAGGGTTATTTTAGGCCGTCTCGTCTCACTCTCTCCTCCCCTCTGTAGCTGTGAGCGTAGAGAGCACTCGGCTGTTTACAGGAAGTGGTCCTGCGCTCACAACGTCAACACTGTCAAGCTCTACCCGTGCTGCTTAGCAACCAAGCTGAAGGAGGATTTTTGGAGGTGGAGGGGGCATGGATAGATGGGAAAAGAAGAGATGGTGGCGTGTTTTTTTTATTTTTTTTATAACTGGTCTTGATAGAGTCTGCGTCAGCGTGGAGCGCTTGACAAGAAGAGGAGGGTGAGTGGGAGGAGAGGGGTTGAAAAGTTCGCATGATCGCTCCGTGGACTCTTGTGCTGTCTGAATGTTCTACTGAAAGTGCAAGACAGTGTGTTCTTGTTTTGCAGAGACATCGCACGTCTTATAATAACCAATTTAATCTTATAAGGAGGAGGCGAAATGCAGGGTGTAGCATTTAACAGGGGAGGTCCTCACAAGGGCAGCAGATTAAAGAAACAGAGATGATAGATACATGCTGAGGGAACACCTTTTGAAAACCGTACTGAAGAAAAGACTATTTAGATATTATTATTATATATTTATTATTATTATTAAATTATATATTTATTAGTCCTGAAACGAGAAATTTGATGCATGTTAGTATTCTTCACTGGGGCTTGTTTTGACTTCACTGGAGTTAGAGGATTCACATTTTTCACCTTTATATTGCACCCAGTCCAGTAGTAAATATCAGGAAGGGATGATTTTAATTTCTTCTTTTCATTTATATCTCTTCTTATCCTGTCATTTTTCTGACCTTTCTTAGCACAGAAAAATACTGTGCCTGTTATCAGTAAGGGCGTCTCATTTCTCTCAATGCTGTCCAGTGGTGTTAGAAAAAAAGAAGAGGAAATAATCCCATGGGGACTTTAGAGAGAAACTTTCGAGCATCAAGCTGCAAGTCTGTCTTTTACAAGATACATTAGACTTCATATGAAATCTTTGACTGATAATATCCAGAAGCTGCTGAAGTAAAGTGTTTAACTATATTTCACAGCGAGCAGAGTTGAAAAAATAGCAGGAGAAAAGTAGGTGTCAGAAGATTTTTTTTCCTATTCCTCTTCATCACAACTTTACTGGATATGTATTAAGCAAGGGATTCAGGTGCCAGATGGTATCTTATTTTCACAGCTTTATCCAAGAACAGTCAAGGCGATTAGTGGAGTGCATTGATTTTTTTTTCCTGATGTTAATTTTATTTAGAAAATCTTTAGTTGGTCTCATTTAAGCAATAAATATCGATTGAGTCTGAGCGTAGTTTCCTGTTTAAACTCGGCAGATATATAAATTATATTTGGCAGGAATGCCATCTCATAATTAAATTTTTTAAAAGTGAGACTTCGCTTGTCATAAGCAAGATTGTCAAGTTATTTATTAACAAAAGCAAAAAGTATCAACTAGAACAACTCCATATAAAAAGCCAATCAAAAAGAAAATGAAAGTGCTGAATCAAGGGACAGTATGCAAAATACTCTGTATTAGACATCAAGCTAAAAGTAGGAATGCACCAATTCAATATTTGGATCGGATATCAGCTCCGATATTGACAAATTAACTGGATTGGATATCTGATAAATGACACTGATCCAGTCTTTTTTTTTCTTTTAATTAATATCATAAACAGCAACACAGTGATTCTGTTCACATTATATTCTGTCTGTCTATTCTTTTGCACTAAATGTTTACATGAAAATCTTCATTCTTCTTCATTTGTTAATAAATATTATTAAGTACATTTATATCTGTGTTAATATGTTACCTTTTTTTAACAAGGCTAATGTCAAGCCTGATGCCTTCACTCACAGGGCAAGGTATACAGTTAAATTATTCAACAGTAGTATTGGATCGGTATCGGATATCGGCCGATACGCTCAGCCTAGGTATCGGGTTGGGTTGGAAAAAAATGATTCAATTCATAATTACTGCCTCACTTTTTCCTAGTCTTCGTCTCTTCATGGTGTCTTTGGTTTGAGGATAGAGGACAACTTCAGAGTGAGAAAAACCAAAAGCACAAATGAGACAAAAATGGGATGCCCCTCGTGTTGAACTCACTCAAATCACCTGGCATCCATCCACTCATCTATCCACCATCCATCACACTGACCAAGAAGCACTGAGCGGTGAGGAAGATCTATTATGCAGGTGCTGAACAGCTTAAAACAGCTTAAACGGCAATTTGTTATCATCAGTACGGGGATGCAGACTTACAAACACGGCCCTTAGGGGGTTGTGTGTGGGAAGGTGTGTGCGCTCTGGTGGTCTAAAAAAATACATGAAAGAGAAAGTCGCTGCTGGTGTAATTAGATCAAGCTGGAAACGCAGCTGCACAGGTGAGCCTTTAAGGCAAAGTTCGGGTGACAGAAGTATCATAAACATTTCAGAATGATTTAGAGATGGAAAAGAGGTCTTTCATAATTTTTGCAATACTATTTTTCTTAGGTAACTCAGGTTAGGTTCAACTATGGGTCTGTTAAGACACCTCCCGACGGGAAATGTGCTTCACACTCAAAGCTGGAGAACTGGTTGAGTCTCTTCTGTGAACAGCTGACAGCTTAAATTGCATCAGTGAGAAGAGGTCTAAGATTCAGCATTTCTGTCTCACTGTCAATGAACTCCATCAGCCCCAAGGCAGAAAAAAAGCGTAATTTTGATACCAGCAGTCGGAAGAAGCCTAAAATGTGTCAACAAGTGTTGGTGTGGAAGCAAGTCAGTGCAAAACACAAAACAGAGATTTATTTCCTCGTGATTAAAACAGTAGTACCATTTCGACTGACTGGCCTGAAGGTGAGAAAATACTGAGATTGAGAAAACCATATTTCATACAGTTCAACACAGTCTGCAGGGAAAGTAGAGGTGGGAGAATAAAGTTGATTCACATAAGCATTGTGATTTTTTGTTTTACAATTTCTTTAATGAATTTTATGTTCAAAAATTGTTTTTTTTTTTTTTTCCAAATTTAAGAATAAATCTTAAAAACTGCCTTACATGTGATGTGTATTTTTTGGGAAAATATGGTTCCTGGAATAGTCAGTCATAATCATTCAACTGTTTCACTGGGGTAAAAATGCAGACTCAATATCGAGAAAATCGACAACATCGTAGAATCGCAGTTAGAATCAAATTGGCATCCAAAAAAACTTAGAAGAATCAAATCGGGAGAAAAGCATATCGTCCCAGCCCAAAGGGAAAGGATGTCAGATTTCTTTTTTTTAAGTGTTGCTAACATTAGCAGAGCTAGCACCACCAGTCTTCAGTCGTCCTTGCAGGTTTATGTCCAAATGCCTGTGCTGCTTGCTTACGCATTGCTTCTACTGAGTGGCTGTATTTCTGTTTAACCAAACACAGACTGCAAGCAACAACTGAGCTGGTTACAACCAGGCAGGAAAGCAAAGCTATGGTAGCCACGAACAAAAGTGGCGATGTTTCAATGTTTGGATGACTTAGAGCTGTGGATTTCTTTTTTACTCTTACAAGTTCAAACACTGAAGAGACAGCAGTTTTATATTAAATCAGGTTAAAAGGTTTCAGCCAAATTGTGTAACTATGATAGCAGTCAGCAAATTCTAACCGCATCAGAATCCGATTTAGGAAGGAAAACTTGTGTCAGAGCACTTCTAAATAAATTCTGGTGGTAGAAAAAAAGCTTACACTGTACAAAGATTGACCATCTAATACAAGTGAATCTGTTCCTCCCTCCCACACTGTGCAAATGCTGACAGACTGGGTCGATGGGGACAAATGAAATAGTTTGGGAAGGATGGCCTGAGGAGAACGGAGGGGAGGTAGGGAGGGAGAGCGACAAAGGGGAAAAACGAGGGAAAAAGAGAAAGGTGGTGCAGTGCCATTGCTCTGCTGCATTATTAACAAGATGCTCCATTATCAGTGAGAAACACACAAACACAACCACACACATACACGCAGTATATTCCAAGCAAGTGCATGCAAGCCTCTCTTTCAAATATAGCCGTACGGATGATTATACATCAGGAAAGGTCAAGCTTGAGAGCGAAAGATCGATGTAACAGGACTGAGTCAGAAGTCAAACATCCATCCTGAGCTGTGGTCACCATGTGTCAGTCATTAGTCAAAGGGGGGGGCGCCGTGTACATGGTTCATCCGGCTATAGCAGCGCTCATGCTATCATGCTATAATGACTCCACATCCAGGAGACAAACACACATCCTCACGCACAGGCATTAACAATCCATTGCGTAACAGGAGAGGGAATGGTCATGGAGGAGCAATTGAGAAGAACTTCTCGAGGGAGATGGAAGCCAATGGGATCTCGCTGCAGTCTACATGAAACCATCCATTAAGGCTTGATGCAATGTTCATCACATGCTGTGTCAAACAAAGGACGTTACCAGCACACTAAACACAGCTAGCTTTAGCCCCGAACACAGCGGTCTATTGAACCTTTGATTGCTGATTGCAATTACAAGACACACTCTGGAATTAGACGTCGTTATATAATGGGAGAACTATACTGCGCTTTGTTTTTTTCAGGACTGATTCAACTTCGCGGTCAACATGATGCTTCCAGGATAGATCTCAAACTCAAACTCCAACACAAGAAAACAAACATGTCAAACTGGATTCAATTTGACTTTAGCACGTCAATGTTGAACTACTATCTATAGCCCCATGCATTTGAGATCCATTTGATCTGTTTCCAGGGTCTACTATCCAGTAACTGTCAGTATCCAACGAGAAGAATAGCGACACTCTGCATTCAACAAACGCAGCTTCAATAAAATTCAAATTTTACCTGAATAGACTCAAGCAGAGATAGGAAGAGAGAGCACCTTTTCATCCAGCGCGAAACCTCTCTCTGCATAGCAATGCAGACTTTACATTCATGAGAAAGTGAACTTAATACTCCTTAATGCTCCGCTGTGCACAGACCACCTCGTCATTTTCTCACAGAGAGAGGAGAGAGAACTAAAAATCTGCGAGGGAGAAGGGGCTAACATCTTTCAGGTCTCTCTTTTTTTTCACCAAGGTTGACACCTTTTCTTGTGTGTAAGTAATTATATAATGTCACATCAAAGCATTGCATAAGACTCTATTTTTACCCTTCACCTATGGCTGATGTGAGAGAAAGCTGCTAACAACTGTTTGCTGATGTGGGAGTGTGAGCAGCCCACGCTTTTTTCCCTCTCTTGTTCCCTCGCTCATACATCGTACACACACAGATGTACATTTTTCAGCACCAGCACAAGGCCTTTCTTCAGCTAATGTGCAAGAATGTGCCGCAGACCAGTCAGACAAGTGGAGCAGAGTGCAATAAAGACAGGTACTGAAGGCCACACTGTGCTCAGTTGCAGACAAATGCAGCACTAGTATTCTACCTGGAGTCACTGTGTACGTTGTATTGTGTCATTCTTTGCAGAAGTATTATTAATGAAGGACTACACAGCATGATATAATACAAGCTGACAAGAGCTAACTTTGTTCTGAGCAGCCTTTTCAGCGAAACTTAATCTAACCCATGGTTTGCTCATGTCAACGTTTTTGTCTGTCAAACTGCTCCCTCAATTTTCCCCGTGTGTGTCAGCTGTATTCAATCCCACAGACACATGGTGACAAAACGTGCAATTTATTTCTCATCCGATCTGTGAACCTTGGTAAAATGAGCAGCAAACTTGTAAAGAAAAAAAAAAAAAGAAGAAGAAATCCAAATTGGCAATAAGCACTTAGTGGTCCTGTGCTCTCTTCCTCCCTCCCCGTTTCCTTCCTGCCTTCCCTTCCTCGACGACCCAGCCCGTCTCTTCATGGCCAATTAGTACAGAAAGGCCTTTAAGTTTCCTTCCTGTCATTTTTCTCTGTTTCCACAGTGGCAATGAAAAGGAGAGAAAATGACAAGAAAAGAAGACAGAAGAAAGAAGAGGACTGTGGCACTGTGCCAATTTTCTCTATTTCCCCAACCTTTACTGCCGGCTATTACTTCTTGTCACCTTGTTGTGAAAGCTCTGACTGGACAGGCAGAACAGACCACAGAGGAAAAAACACACATAGCCAAGCACATGTCACACCAAGACAAGATGGAAAAGAGACAGACAGACAGACAGTGATTTCTGGATGTAGGTTTTAATTGATCAGATTTCCCTCTGAACTGACTGCCTGCTGCTGAGAACTTATCGATAAAACTGAAAATATGATGTTTTTCCTTCTTTGAATGAAAACTTTAGGGGAGAGAATATCAACCAGTTAAACCAGTACATCTTTCCTCTTATGTCAGCTAACTAGTGGTAATAAAATTAGTATTTGAAACATTTTGAATTTAAAATCTTTTGTAGCCTCCACTTAAAACATTATCTCATCGACCTGTATCCTGTAAAAAAAGTTGTCCTGAACTAGAAAAGTGGTGTCTAAATGAGAATCTAGATTCCACATTTGCTTCCACAGCTATTGGACTCATTAAATCTCTTCACAAAACATGATTCGCTGCTTAAGAAAGCTCTAAATGTGATTTCTCTGCCCCTTTCTACAGCCATCATTTCCACTCGGATCACTTCAAAAATATTTGGTTGCATAATATTTTACTATCAGTTGTGTGTTCACTCCCTTGTTGGAGCATGAGAGCCCGGTTGGTGAGTAGACAATGTAACCAATGTAGGGTACAAATTACATCTCCAACATCACGCACTAGCGTTTATACAACACTATTATTAAGTCCTCTGCAGTGCTGCAACAGCGAGCACTGCAGTGTGAACCCAAAGTAAACCCTGCTAATAACCAGTGCAGCAATAAGTAACAGTTTGCCCTTTAATTAAAAGGAGGCATGAACTTAGGACAGTTAACACTCGGTCTACCAAAATTCTGCAACTACTAAACGACCATGGCAGTCATTCTGACTGCTCAGTCTTTATTTGCATATAAATTGGATAATAAACTATAAAAAACTATTGATAAATTGGTGGAATAGATGAAAAAACACACCAGTACACAAAATGAAAGTCAGAATGAATGAGATATTTAAGAACCTTCCACAAAATATGAAGACACATCATTCCTTGAACTTGCTCATCCATCATTCTTCCTCATCAAGGCTCTGAAGCAAGACTAAAGCCTCCATACTTGTCATTTTTCTTCTGGTTGTCACTTTTGAGTCTCTTGAGTTTTGAGTAACGTTATAGCAAGATTTTAGCTTCACAGAGCTTAAAGTACAATATGAACATTAGAGCAGGAGAAAGAGTGGGAAAATGTAGCAAATATTGAAATATAACACTGTAAAAACCAAGCAGTCAATTTGACTGCTAGTTCGAGACAGTAATACTCAGATCTCTTTTGTGTTTTGAATATTTTATGATAAAACTATGTTAGAATACAATATACACCCATTTAGGAAAAGTCAGGGGTGTAGTGTAGTGTATAGGTTTTATTTTAAAAAAGTTATGACATTGTAAATTTGTAAAGCAGTCAAAATGACTGCCTTGGTAGTTTGAGTGTTAAACATAGGAGTTTCTATGGTAACATAAATGGAAACCACTGAAGTCTTCTCTCAATATAACATCTTCTTCCTCCATGTGGGTTACCACAGCAGTGCTCCTTCAAAATAAAGTCGAGGTGTGACCTGTCAGCACTACCATCTTGTGATGAAAGAGTAACATTGTTGAATGCCAGCATCTATTTCAGGCTCTTTTATGATAGGTAGAATGTAGGTCATGGGAGAATATAGACCATAGGTTGATGCAGATGACACAGAAGTGAAACCACACAGAAGTCACGCTGTGCCAGGCTAAGAGCCACGCGCTCAGCTTGCCCGGTTGTGTTATTCTTTTTATTGACTCTCAACTAACCCACATTCAGAACCCAGGGACCACGCACAGGGACTTTTATTTTGGGATGGCTCAATGGCAGAATGTGAAAGGTGACATGCCTTGGTAGAGGACCAGCGGTTGGGGACAGTCCCTGCCTGTCCTTGACATACTGAAGGGGAGGGGGGGGCAGGAGTGGTGATAGGCCTAGTTTTCTGTGCCCAGAGGAGTTACACAATCACCCAGATGTATTTAGGAGTGGTACGGAGAAACCACACTGTGTATGTGCTGTGTGTCATGGTGGCAGGTCAAAGACAGTGGTCATACGTGTGTATGTGGGGCAAAAAAGAAAAGAAAAAAAAATAAACAAACGACTGTATCATGCCTGCTTGGTTTCCTGCCATTTTTCTGCAGCAGTCTGAGCTAAAAACCCTCTCAGTGAGCAGAATTACAGCCTGATCTGTGGTTGGTTTGCTTGAGCCGGTTTGTTTTTACTTTAATGAAATGAACCTGGTGGCTAAGTTTGGATGATGACAACACCGTCTATCTTTTAAATGTCGTCTGATCCATTGCTTACAACTCATGCTGCTCCTCAATAAATACAGGGATTGAAATAACAAATATTTACTTCAGCTGTGGTGAATGAACTTAATCCGAAATGTACTTTTAAATTACACTAATTACCAAAGAAATCCAAAATGAAATCCACTGTATGGCTGGAAAATCAGTTTAAACTCTTATCAGCCTTGCACAGTAGACAAGTTCAGCAATCCCATTAGGAGCGTTGAAAATGACTCAAAGTTGAGCTGGTACTGGAGACTGTGAAGTCTGCTTCCTACTTATGATTAATATAAACACTAATAATTCTCAATGTTTCTGAGAACTAGCCAGGATATTGAACCTGTGTTTAAATCCAGTTTAACACAGTCCCTCATCATCCTCTGTTCTTGGAGTTGCTGCTGGTGTCTTTTGGCTGATTCAGAGAAATAACTAAGAACTTGGAGAACAGTTGAGAAATGTTGCAGTCACGTTGTATCAAACAGTTGCTTTTATTCACTCAATGCAGAAAACACTCACTTCCCAGAACTACTGTGTCCAGACAATGTCACATGCATTACCCACAAGGCCACCTTTCTTAGGAGGAAGGCTCGGTCAATAAAACTTCTGATGTGTCGAACAGATACTGAGCTGCTACACAATGTACAGCTCCTGGATGGGTATTTATTGTTCTATCTGACCGATGTCCACTTGGCAGACTGAGACTAACATTTGGCGAATTAGTGGGCAGCAGACCTTCTGCAAACACAGCTATGCAATACCACATTAACTGATAAACACTGTCTGTCTGCAGAGGAACTGTCTCGCGACTCTAATGCCATCCAAGAAATAGACACACACAGGGCAGCACAAAACAGTTGAGTGAGTTTAGACTGAAAAAGAAAGAGGAAGGGAGTCAGACAGGGAAGGAAACATCACTGAAGTGAAACAAGGCAAAGGGAAAAGTGAGCTGGAGTCAGAAAATAGTAGGAAACTGGAGGAATTAGGTGAAATTGTAATAAAAAAGTGCTCCTTTCTACATCCCTGTAAGCCTCCTGAGTAGACTGTTAGGCAAACGAGCTGCGGCTTTGGCTGCACTTAATGACTGACTGTAAATATTCATGAGATTCTGTTTCTTTTTAAATGTTCAGTGTTTTTTCCTTGAAGTTTTAAAGAGTCTACATTTGAAGAAAAAAAAAAAAAATCACGGCTGCCTGAGTGGAACCCTAGCTGAGAGACGCTTATTAACTTTCACTGTAAGTTCCTGAAACTCTGCTTCCAACGGCTGGTTAGATTAAGAAGTTTCCCACCCATTTTGTATGAATGTCCACACACCCTGCATGATATCTCAGTACCTGGAGGGCAGGAGATGGCTAAACACACCCTGCTGTTCTGACTTCAAAGAAAGACGGCCCCCTCAGACTTAATGACATGTCCATGAGCAACAAGCACAGAGCAAAACAAGATCTTATTGTACTGGGCACTAAAGCCAGACTGTACTGAAGGAGAGTGAAGCCGTACAGTTTTTTACCACTCGTAATAATAGCAAAGATAAAGAAAAAAACATGATAAAACGGCTAGAAGGTCGTCCTTATCTGCTGCAAATGACATCATATCTGGCAGAGGACACAAGTCCTTAAAACAAGTTGACAATGGGCTTGCTCTCCTCGCCAAAAATGCACCCAGGCTACCATTAGCGTCTCAGATGCTGAGCGGAGACGACAGGCGAGCCACATGGAGTCTATTTCTATTGACAGTTGCAGAGGGCCAGAGCAAAGGGTCGGCTTTGCAGGCGATCTGTTGTCACTCACTGTTCCGCAGCTTCACATGTTAACTTTACATGCCCACTATAACCAGATTAACGCAAATAATCTGATTAAGCACTCATGTGGGTAATCTCAAATGTTACCTGTACAGTATTTATGGAAGCAAAATCTTGCAGAGCAAGAAAAGCAGTGAAACTGCTCAGAAAAGCAAACTGTTCTCTCTGTTATCATGGGAGGTTACTTTCAGTTTGTCCTTTCAGGCAGTAATACATACATTCATCAAAATTCACTTTGTGCTTCGATCCAAAAAGGGAATCAACTGGCAAAACTCAGTTTTTTTTGTTGTTGTTTTTTTTAACTCTTCTTTCATCTCTGGAGTGAGCCTCATTGGAATTGCTCATGAATTTCTATCTAAAGTGAAACGTGAGAAAAATACTGCAGTGAAAAACTGGCTCGCTCGAATATTAATGTCAACCGGATTGCTTTACTAAATGGCTCCTTTCTTCCAAAATAATCTGAATTTTCATCAACACAGCAAACAAACACAAGGTCACACCCACACCCAGGGCAGCGGCTGAATTCCAGTGAATAAGGGCTGCATTCACAGGCTGTCTGAAAGTGACGTAACAGAGCACATTTCTGGCACGGTTTCTGAAACACCAACAAAAGACGCCTTTTGGCTGCTGGCCATCACTACTATATAGAGACTGCTAACAACTGGGAGTTTTCCCTGCCCAAGAAATAATTTCATTACAGTAGAATGTGTGTAAGCCCGTAGAAATCCTCTTATCAGAGCCACAAAACAGTAAGACATTTACTTAAACTCAGCTAATGTAATCTGTGGCTCCATCACCACTCAACCAGGCTATCATTATATAAACACAGCAATCCAGAAAATGCACTGTAATTAGATTAATTCATGACTACTGCATGCATTACAATCAGGTGCAAACACACACGGGAATGAGCTCATGTCATCCACTCAGGTCACGAGCAAGTGGAGTGGGACTGGATGTTGGTGTGCGCACTTGTTTTCCTGCTCCTGTGGATGGAGTGGAGGTGTGTCGCACCAAGAAGTTGAAGATTCAGTGCATGTTTAGCATCCTGGAAACGCTCTGTGTTGTTACACATTGAAGGAGCCGAGGCCAGAGCAAGCATGGCTTTATGTCAACTGTTTTTTCAACAAATAGATGTGATCCTAAACAGAAATGTATAGGCAAAGAAAATTACAAAACTTTGTTTAGCTAAGAGACCAAACACAACTCACCTACTGTCCTCCAGCAGCCGCTTGTTTGTTGGGGAGCCCTGACGAGTTGATCATCAGTGGAGTTTCGCAGCTCAAGGAAGAACATTTATGATCATTTCTTCATGGAAATGCAATCAGACTGAGACGCTAAGGCAGAAGAACTACCGCGTCTGCAGTGCAAAATGATCAATATGATGATTATTACTTCATGGAAATGATCCGCTGCACTCGGTGATCGATCTGTCAGGGCTCCCCCACAAACAAGCGACTGCTGGAGGAGAGTAGGTGAGTTGTGTTTGGTCTCTTAGCTAAACAAAGTTTTGTAAGTTTCTTTGCATACTCCTATACATTTTGTTTAGGATAAGTGTGGGTGAGTTGTGTTTGGTCTCTTTGCTAAAGAAACCAGACAAAGCTAAAAAGATGTTTGGTGGCTAGTGCTGTGGCTGGGACTCTATATGTACTGTTGAAGTTAGGTGCTGTTCTGAGCATTATTTGTGGCTACAGAGTGGCTTTTTGGTTGAGGTTTGCGCGTGCAGCAATAGACCGCTGTGTATTGCTATCGTGTGGTCATTGCATAAGTATAATTAGAGAAGCAAGTGGTCAGCAACAATTATCTCTCGAGGGGGAGTCTAACTGTTTGACCCTAACATAAATTTACACCGGAATATCCCTGTAAGACCACGTAAAAAATCTAATTTATAGTGTCCTTTAAAGCTACTGTTAGGAACTCTTTTTGCTAGTATTGGACAAAGTGGAACCTCTATTTTTTTCTTGTCCTGTACACACAAAAGCGTGTTTGCACCCTGTCTTATATTTTTTTCATTCGAAATAAAAAAGCGTCTCAACAAAGTTTCTCCTGCGCACCTCAGACTTGATTGACTTTTGTTTACCTACCAGCTGCATCATCACAGAAAACTCTACCCAGTTATTAAGAGTGACATCGCTTGTGACGTAAGCCTTATTCAGATGTGTGTGTTATCATTTACACTTAGGCTGTGTATGGGTGTTTGTAGTCTACTGTTATTGTTACAAACTTCAAACATATCGGTGTACAATCAGTACATCAGTTTTTGGCATATTTCTGCTGATTTCATCGCTTAAAGTTGACTTGAGACAACTTTATGTGAGTTTACCTGTCATTTATTTGAGTATTTAACTACAAAGATTAACTTCGGCCATCTATTCTTCTTCTTCCCTTTAGCCATGGCCTAACATTGCTCTGTAAAAATACTGATAAATATGTTTCCAGGCTCTGATCTTTTTTTAAAACCGCAGGGAACACAACGGTACAGCATGGGAACAGTTTCATAAGGCGGTATGACATCACTACTTACCCACACTGTGACTGACAGCATCACCGATTTTCATATTTGGACTTCAGCAGGCTATGAAGGCTGTTACGCTACCAAGATCATTTTCTAGTACCCAGTGAATATTTTCAACGGTGAATGTGACTGAATTTCTCACACTGTGGAGCCCAAACTAGATCTGTAAGAAACTTCCACTCACAAATACTCCAGTATGGGCCATTTAGTCCCACTGAAAAAGTGGTGGAGGCACTCAAACTGGGTAATGTCACGTAAACAGTTTTATCCTTTCGCTGAGATGACTCCGATGAGAACACTACACAGCTCAAGAGTGTGACTGCTGCCCGGTGGGGACTGCTGTCACTTGGCTGGACAATAGAGTTTTCATGGTCACAGAAGGAGAGGGCCTCTCCAACAGAGAGCCTCTCAGAGCCTCATCTGCAGGGTGTGCTGACACTCTCACCAGGGGCAGCCAAAACAAATCACTGGCTTTTTCAGTCATTGTTGAATCAACACAAAGTTATAGACTTAAGAATTGTAAAGTTTTGTGCCCCGGGTCTCCTGCATCCACTTTTCATCCTCCAAAGAGGATTTCTCTCATCTTGACAAATTGTGTGCTGTCTATCATTCTGTCTTCAAGTGAGGGGGCGGCTGCCTTTTAAAGCTGAAACCGCTCTGAGTCCCACGGCATAAAATAGGTAGAAGGGAGCCAAAAACCAGAGGAAATGCGCTGACGTCCTGTTGTTGGGCTGAACAGAGGATGTAAAGCCACTAAAAAGTGAAGAGAGGAAACAGTTCAATGAATGCTGGTCAACTAAAAACAAAAAGAAGACGTTTAAAGGGAAGCTATAACTATTTCTAACATTTATCCATACATCTTTTTCACAGATTAATTTAAAACATGCGCACTAGATTGGATGTTATAGGCCTACATAAAGACCATATAACACAGTTCTGATTCTTATCAGGGGCTTCAGGTTATTTAAGGTTTAAGATCTCCATCAGTGTCACGACTAAGGCAAGCGCTGTCACGGTGAAGACACAGTGGATTATATTACAGAAATATCAGACAGTAATACATGAGGAGGAAATTGATACCAGACTTGCTGATAAAACAATTATTTTCAGATAACCTGACAGAGCTGCGGTCTCATTATCCTTCCCGAGGCCCTGACGCTACATGTAAAGACCCTCAGCGGTAAAAGCAGTGCTTGAATTCCTCTACCTGGCTTCACGTTCAGAGCTGTGGTTACAGGGAAAGAAAAAGTGGAAATATTTTCAGACGGTAAAACCATAATCCAAACTCTGACTATGATGCCAAAACAATTTGTTTTTCAGCTATGATAGCTTTTCAATCTGCCTTAGTTGTTGTTGGTAGAATCATTTTGACATTTACTCAACTAAAGTTAGATTACCTACAGGACATCTGCAGATAAACACATGCGTGGATCTTCTATCTAGCGAGAGACTCACTGTTTACTTTGGATTCTCTGAGCTCCACAGTAAACCATTATATGTGCTGTTGGAACAACAAACACATCCTTTGCTACTTCTGACTGAGGAACAGTCACAGGCAATACAATGGTTGGGTCCCAGTTCAGGGACTGCATTTTTCAGAGGGTGTGTCTAAACACAGAGCAGCCCACAGAAGTGGCATACTGTAGGCTGTCCCATTAAGAAGACTCCTTTATATGTGGTGGGCAAATGCATTTGCTTGCTCTGGTTACCATAGTAACAATGTAACAAGGTACATGGCATTTCAAAATGTAAATCAGCTTAAATCTTGAGAGCTAGAACTTTCAGTCTTTGGTTTTAGTAAAAATCTGGTGCTAGATTGATCAAGGTTCAAGTTGGACTCTTTCCACATTTTTAGTCAGGCTTTTCAAACACTGGCTTATCAACTTCTTAACATATTCATCGTGCTATTGGTCTCTTGTCTTCCTCTATTGCATTCACTTGGGCTTTAAACCATGCCAGGCTGCACCAGTTTTTGGCTCTACTCTGGCACTCCCAGATCCCAGCCTACCTCCTGACTCATCTACTTTACTTTAGTTCATGATTTACAACATTTCCACAGAGATACGAGCCTGAACGTGTTGTACTGTGCCGTGTTTAAGTGTAGGTGGAGAGCAACGGGGATAGAGACAGACGTAGTAAAGTGTTGGCTTATTCCCAGTCGAGCTGCAGAGTGAGCTGTGCGTCTTCAACGAATATGAAACGTCATTTGTTGTTGAAACGCATCGTTTGAAGACACTGTTGGTGGTGAGAAAACTGCCTTTTTTTCTACGTGACTTCTCTCGGAATCAGCAGTTTTAGGAGGAAGCCAATTTAGAGTGATTTCATGGGTTTGAGACAGAAACTGTTTCCAAAAATATTGAAGGATTTATTCTCCAGTAAAAAAACCCACAATAGCTGCACTGGAAATACCCTGATGTAATCCTACTGCATCATCTATTCTGACCATTTTCTGCAAGAGTCAATACAATCTACAACTAAATAAAAATGTACCCAGAGTTGCCATGGCATCTGCATCTAAAAATACTTGGCTGTTGTCCTCATTAGTCAATATGCATAGATGGATGCTGCTGAGGTATCACTGCTTGAAGCTGGCCTAAAATGACTCAAGCTGGCTGCTTGGTTTTTGTGGGAAGAGCCTGCAGCAATTAACACATTCCTCAAATCCTGGAGAGGTGGTCAGCAGATTCGGTGGTACATTTGTTACGCAACAGTATCTTATGTTACAAGCCATACCTTTGTGAAAAAAATGGAGCCCCCGGGAACCTTTGAAAATGCCACGCAGCTGTCTGGAAGAAGCAGGGCGCACACACAAGCATCACATAATACTCTCATAACAATCCCCATCTCATCCTAACTGTCTGGAAATGAGCCATGACACACACACACACAAACACACACTCACACTCACACAAACGAAGCGCTCTGAGCGATGACGAACATTAATTTCAGGAGAACTCAGGTGGTTTCATTCCTGGCTTGTCTGGTGTCAAAAACCGGCCCTGCACAAAAACACACTTTCACCTAGATACTGGCAGCTACTGAACACTTACCAAAACAGGCTGCTGAAATGGCATTTTAACTGTTGCATAATCCTTGGCAGACTACAACCCCTGGAGTCAGATTACACCAAAATGACTTCTCTAGACGTGTAAACGTTACTCGAATCAAAGCGTGCTTCGACAAATGTACACTGCAGGAATGTAGCGTATATCTGAGACAGCTAAGGCTCTTTGAGAAATGCCAGTTACCTAACCACAGTCGTTTGACATTTCCTGTTGTCCTACCCTCACAGACCCTTCTTCTGCTCTGTCACTCTGACAAATTTAAGGTTACAAGGGACTGAAAGTTTGAATTCAAAGAGTATTTAAAAGAAATATCTACATCAAGTGACTTTCAGGTTACATAATCTCCTTAAAATGAGATGTGTGATCTACAGTAAATCTGACTCCTACATGGGCGGATAGTCCTCCTCATGACCTGAAAACCAAAGTGCAGCCTTGTTTATTCCCTGGACATGCTTGCGTGATTGCGCCAGAATGTAACATGACACGCCACAAATCAACAAGCAAAATGTATATACGGTAGTGTGCGAGGCAAAGGAACTGAAACCCTAACTGTGTTACAGTGCTGAAAATCCATCACTGCAGATTTAAAGTAGAAGCTCAGGGGATTTGTTTTTATAAATGAATAGACAGTGAATACAGACGAAGTGTTGATATGCCACTTGTTCCACTCTTTGCACATAAAGTCAGTACACACTGCTGTCTGTGCTGTAACACTGAATGTTGACACGATGGGATCATCTACCGCATTATAGCCATGATATTAACCCGCACAACGGCCCTTCTTTAGTGCGATACAGCTTATAGGCCTAACATGTAAAACTGTCCTCTTTCTTCAGTCGGAAAATCTATTTCTCACCATCTTCTGTGAGATCTTTTCAAAATAAAGCCTTTCATACAGTTCAGTACACAGCCATGCCAAGGTCAAGCGCCTGTTTGAAAGGCTTAAATAAACATTACAAAGAGAGGAGTGGACACAGCCCACCGAAACAATCACAGCCCCTCCTTATTGATATGAAGCACCTTCCGTATATTTACATTTGTATATGTTTCTATCTACACTCATGTTTGGACCATGGCTTGTACTCCCTGTGGAGCTCCGGGCATCATAACCTCATTCCTTCTCACTCTTCAAGTAAACTTATCTCCTCTCTCCTCTGGGAACTGACTGGCTGCTGCTGGTCACTCTGAGGAATGTGTTGCTGTTTCGCTGTTTTGCACAGGGCCAACTTTCTCTTGTTTTGGACAAATCTGCAGCAGGGAGTGTGATGCTTTTTATTCCCCTGATGGGAACAGATCCTCTCTCTGAGGAGAGAGGGGAAAGTGCATGACAACACTCCCTGACAGTGCATGTCTGTGTAAATTCATGTGAAATATATGGCAATCCTCGATGTGTGTACATGTGTGTGTGAGAGGAAGAGCAAGTATGTTTCCTGTAATATGAAATTGGAGAGATAATCAATAGCAGACAATGGGAGGGATCTAAAGGCAAGAATAAAGAACAGGATGGATCTCATGTAAGTGTTGCCATATGTATGTGGAGTTATACATTTCAGATTCAAAGAGGCATTTTAAAAATTGTTTACCTCCCTATTTGACAATAACAGTAAACAGATACCTCAGATGATCACTGTTTCTCATCCTGACAAGAGAGAAGACAGCATAAGAGACTAAGTCACTGTTCAGGTAGGACAGATATCATTTTCATACGACACACACCTGAGAGCCTTGGCCGGCGTTGACTGCAGAGATGCTCTGTTTGTCTAGTAGCCTGGTTTCACAGCTCTGCCTATAATCTGACTGTACCCTGAGGGGGACATGCTGCTTAAAATGGAAAAAGCAGGGCAGAGAGTGACCTTTAAGAGCTTCACTCTGCAGCTGCTGTATATGAAACAAACATGATGGAAGAACAACTACAGCAACTCTGATCAAGTGTCAGCAGCGTACACACACACAGAGACAGACAGACACACACACACACTCACACAAAACCCTCACTGATGTCATTTTTAAAGGCAGCAAACTGCAACTATGTCATCTATTCACCACTACAGCATTTTACTCCAAAACAGGCCAACAATGAGTCAATTGTTGTGGGCCAAGAGCTGCATATCTTTGTGTAATAACGAGGAAATGGCGAAAATAAAATGCGACAGAAGCTTGTGATAGAGACAGTATGGACATAAAGAGCTGAGGCAGCCCCACACTTAATATAAAAACACTAAAACCTTACCTGGCTTTCTGAGATAACGCCGTCTTGATGGTGTAACCTCAGGAAAAAAGGTGGAAAAGATGATCTCCTGAATTGGATTAGTGAAGAGGCAGCCAACCAGTCAGGCGGTGGAGGAGGAAGAGGAGGAGGAGGAGGAGCAGGAGGATATCTCTGAGGGGGTGATGCCCATGTTCATTATGTGTCCCTCCAACGTCGGAGTGGAAACATTTGACCTGCTACTATCGCGTGCGGTGCCTGAAATCAGGCCCTGTTGAAGCAAAGCACGGACCACCATCGGCGAAAATAGAAAAACCTAAGCCCACAGCGAGGGAGAATAAGCTGCAGCTGACTCTCTCTCCTCTGTTTTGTTTGACAGTAGGCTTGTTTCTACACCCGAGCAGCAGTCTAATCTCGATTACGGCGGGGTGCGCAACGTCCATACACCAGCCTGACGCACGAATATAAGCGAAAAGCAGCGCGTTTCTCTGCCTCGGTGCATAAGTGAGGAATCCAGGGGCGGTGTGTGTTTACCTCTCCGTCGTCCCTGCTGCTGTGCTCGGTGGGGAATCAGCTGCTTTGCACTGGAGGGACGCCATTTGTTCGTGAGTGAGAGGCTTCCCGTCTGCTGCCCTGCGCAAATGCAGAGCTTAACAAGCAGCCCTTGAAATAAAACAACAGCGCCCTCTGCTGCCACAAAGCGGTCACCGCCCTAATAAACGTCCGTCGACCGTAGACTCCACTCGCCACGCCGAGAACAGCACCCTCTGTTGGCGGGCTGCAGTATAGGTCATAAATCCCAGCAAAAGCTTATAGGGCTGGCACCAAGTTGTCCACAATATATACAGTCTATGCCGTCGACTCCAAGTAGGGTGGAGAAAGCCGTAATAGCAACAGCAATAAAAATAGAAAAACAACAACAATAAGAGTAGAGTTTTAGAAGGTCTGTGTGGACCCAGTCTATGTCAGACACATTGTCTAAAAAGCAATATAGTAAGAAAAACAAAAAGGTAAATTTGCACAATTTCTTTAACCCATGTGCCCTCAAAAACAGGTCGGTGCAGACCCTAACACAGGAGAAGGTTTAAATGTAGTTTGAACATTGGTCCGACATATGACATAAAGTCATGTTAGAATCAGTTCTTTAGTTGACTGCTCAAAGACAACCAGAGAAATCTTCAGTTCTCAGATGTAACATTTATTTAGGTCATATGAAAAGTAGTACAGCGCTGGACTTGCAATGACAGAGCTCCTAGGATCTCCGTCACAACGAGTGCCCATTTACAAGTACATTTATCTTCTTGGGCAGGAATTGCCCTGGACAGAGGTTGGACTTAAACACAGCCGAGTATCATCGGCCAGTTATCTCTGACGTGAACTGGCCAACCACTGTTCACATGGTCTTACTAAAATGTGTTATGAAATGTGTGTTTGTGTGTGTGTTGTTGACCTTGAGGCATGTATCTACTGTAAAACCTGTCCAACAGAACAAAGATCAGGTTCCTCCTTATCAAGCTGGATGTCACACTGTTCTGATTAAATCAAACAGCCTGTTAGTAAATAGAAACATTCATTAAACTGCATGAGTTCAGTGGAAAAGTACAAATCTAACACTAGCAAAATAAAACACAATTGTAACAGTCATATGCTTTTGTCACATTGGTCAATGCATTTCTCACCTGCTGGTTTCTATTACAGGGCTAACTATTTTCCATTTTTCCAACTATCTATCATTGACAGCAGTATACCAGATTTAGTTTTCAGTATTAGCTTTTTTTAACATATGCAATATTGACTATACTTCCCAGAAATCAATGAGTAAATTAAAATTAAACCGATGTAAAAACACTTCCAAGGCTTTTTTTTTTTCGTGTTAAATTGGAATTAATCCAGCTGAAGGCCTTTAAAATTGTCAGCTGATCAAACAACTGTGTGAGTCATTTATTCTGCAGATCATAATGTTAAGTTTCATTATGTTGTTCGTACAATTGCCCAGTTAAAGGAAATGAAACCTTTCTTCATTTGACTTATAACCTTGTAGAGCCTGATAATGCTCATCAACGTTTTGTGGTTTCATGTGTTGGATGCAAACAACTATCAGACAGTTCTTGCTTATATTGGTAATCAAGAGGTGAGGTTACAATGCTTCTTCAATTTTATAAAAGTAAAAAAGAAATAGAATAAATCACTCCAATGCTACCAAAGTTTAGTGTCCATTATTAAACAAAAGGGATGTATACCTCACTTGGTAGGACTTTCAAGCTAGGCTAGTTATTATAAAAGCTATTGATCCAAAATATCAAATGAAGTGACACTCCTTACATATTGTAATAAAATAGATTTAGTTTTTATTTGTTAACACAAGTGCATGTACAGTGCATCAAAACAAAATCTGTTATCTGTAAAAACAAATTAGTAAAAAAACTTTTTTTTCCAAAAAACTTCAGCAATATTTTTGAACAACCATAAGCAGAACATTCAATCAAAACTGTAAAAACACAAATACAAATAAAACATTAATACTGCTCAAATAGTCAGTGCTTTGACGAAACAAAATGTTTATCACAATGGAACTGTAGCTGTTCACCACTCCAGTTTCATGTCAGCTTTGCTCCACACATATTTCCCTCCTCTCTTCAGAAACATCTTTTCATCAAAGCCGCTGAAACAAATGGCCTCTTTCACACCCACATCAAGGATGGACTTGGACGGATCCTTCCTTCCCTCTCGGCAGTCCAGGAAACGCATCTGGAAGGAGAAGAAAGCGTGAATGAGTCACAGGTTTAAAAGTTCCTAAAGGTGTTGAGTTTACCTAAGTACTGAACCATTAAAAGGCAAAAACAAGTCTAACTTTTCCTCTGCCAAATACTTAAAAATCACATATAGGAATGGCTGAGCAGAGCCAAAGTGAAGGTTTACAACTCAATTTAAGCAAAATCAAACATTCAAAAAAAAAAACTTACTGGCTTGGTCACACTCATTTTATTATCTTTAAAAAATGAAAGGGTCGCATTAACTGTAAAATCAGAGGGATGTGTTATATTCATCAAGAATAAAAAGTACTTACATATTCATCCAGAATCAGGTAGGAGTTCCTCATCTACCAAGAAAACCAAGAACACAAACTTTAATTTTTGCTATACTGATTTTAAATATTGCCAAACTGTCATCATGGTAGGAAGATTTTGCTCCTGAAACAAACGTCCTGCAAAATACGACAACTGACAGGATGCAGGGTGGACTGTTTCTGTAGCCCTACTTGATTTGGTTAATTCGATATGACTTTTGTAATAATAACTTTTGTAAACCCTTAAATCTAGAATAAAGACAGTTTTGCTTCATCTTTCACTTCACTTTTTGGATATAAACCCCACACGCCTTCCCCCTTCCCATCTCCAAAACTATAAAAAAACCTGTTCCACCATATCTCCACTAATTCCTGTTTTTGGCAACAGGCAAAACTACACTTACGAACAAGAGCAAATAACATGTTTAAATGCTACAAATGGACTGTTCTGTAAAGTAAAATTTGCATATTTATGCATCATTATTAACAACTTTTATATGTAAAGGTTGCTAAAATAATATCTGTGAGTTTTAGCTGCAGTCTTATTTGTTGCCTCAGTAAAGCTTCTTACCTTCTCGTTGGACTCAGGAACTAGGCAAGAGACGCCGTTGTGTCTGTCAAGAAACTCCTGAAACTGTTGGTCGCTGATGACAAACCTCTCCGCCTCTCTCAGGGCTTCCTCTCCAGCATTTTCCCCATCGATCAACAAACACTGGAAGACCTTTGCACACACAATAAAGTCTGAGTGTACATGTGCGTCAGGGGACTTCCAAATCAAAATACACACTCTGTCGTTGTCCTTACCTTCCAGCGCACTGGGTTGAGCCCGTTGATGGCCGCTGTCATGTCTTCATCCACGTTAAAGGTGTTGATGACAGAGTTGATCTTGAATGCCACCTTGTACGTCTGGCACCAGCTGCAGATCTTGTAAAGGTTGTCCAGGTGACTCTTCCTGCCCTGAGTCCTGCCTATCAGCTGGTTGGTTTCCTCCTCAAAACTGTCACAAGAGATGGCCAGGATGTCCAGATACTCACCTGGAGGGGAAATGGTAACAATTTAAGATTATGTGTAATATTTATTAGCTCAGACAGAGGGTGCCATATTCCTAGACTAAATATGTAAAGCTTTGAAAGCTCCTATTACTTGTCTTACACTTACCATATTTCTGGAACCATCTTTCTTTGATCATGCTTCCATTGCTGACGATGCTGACACTTGGGAGCTGGAGGTCTTGTTTACAGAACTGAACCATTTTCCCCAGAAATTCTCCTTTGTCGTGCAAGAAAGGCTCTCCTCCAGAGAAGTTGATCTTCTCCATGCCTAAAAACAAAAGCATTCTTTTCAGCTAACTGCATGCATTGTATATGACACCAAAGGACCAGGACACTCACTTATCTGTCAAACTTACCAGCCTCTTTCAGGAGTTCCAAGCCTCTCTTTGCTTCCTCCAGGGGCAGGACGAAGGATGTTTTTGCAGTGTGGAAGCAAAATCCACATTTGTAGTTACACTTGCGTGTAAAATGATAGTTGACGCTTGATGGAGTCGTCACAATTTGGTCTTCCTGATCAACCAGCTTGTCCTGAACAGACGGAACAGATGAGCTCGTTTCCTTGCAGACTCCAGCTCTCCAGTTACAAACTTTGGAAAAGAGGCTCACTACAAAGATGTGCAGGGGATGGATTAAGAGCTGCAGTAGCAGTCTCGGAGACGTGAGCACGAAGAGAAACTGCATATTGACACCAAACGTCCAACACCTGTCCTGATCTATGAGTGGACACTGACGCCTGTTTTATACATGGCAACAGGGCGGAGAAAGGAAAATCGGTCAGCTGAGTTTCTGTTTACAAACATCGAAAACGAAACTTATGGTGTGTGTGGCCTGTGTGAACCTGATAGGCTATGAATCATCTGGGGGCATGATAAGGTTATGAAACATCATTTTAGGGATGAGTAAATAAGAGTTCAAAACTTTATCGGGAGTTTATGGGCATGTATGTGTGTGTGTGTGTGTGTGAACCACACCTGCCAACATTTGGGTTATAAAATCCGGGAGATTGTTGCGGCATGCGCCGGGCACTTTTGAGGTTACCTTGTATGGAGGATATGAGCGAATTATGAGAGTATTTGTGATTAGATTGCTTATCCAAACAAGTATAAGTGAAGCTGCACACTTTTGTATAACAAATGGTAATAAAAAATTAATATATCTGTGTTTTATGTTTAAATGTTTTGCCTTACTTTCCTTGTTTTATTTTTTTATATTTTTGATTTGGATAATTGAAATAAACTTCAATCAGTCAATCAATCAATCAATCAATCAATCAATCAATCAATCAACATGTCTTGAACTAATTTAGTCCACTAATTTTGGTGTTAAAGTCCTCATATGTTTTACATGCTCTCTGAACATCTGTGCGTGCATTACAACACTCTTTTATCTAAGGCTTACCTGAACGCATCACTCCGAGACGGCGCAAGACTATCAACGTAAATATTATACCTCATGTTTGTTTCCCTGACATAAAAGTGTTCATTTTGCAACAAATAATGCTTAAGTATAGTTTACAGTTTAAACCGACCTGAATCATCCCAAATTGTAAAGTAAAAGTATCAATACAGTGTCTGTGAGGCTCAGCAGAAACACGGGACAATCTTGGGTTGTCTGGACACTAGGCAACTTTGGACAAATGTAGTGATCGATTCATGAATGCACGTGGACCATGCAAACTACGGGAGATTCCCGGGAGAAATGACAATACAGGAGGTGGGCGGGAGATAGGTGTGAAATACGGGAGAGTCCCGGGGAAAACGGGAGTGTCGGCAGGTATGTGTGTGGACGTGACTTCCATCACTATGAAACGTTGCGCACTTATCACTGTTTCAGGTTATTGCCGTTTTAAAGTGTAAACAAGTGTGTTTTCGGCACTCTTTCTGTTTTATCTTTTATATATTTAATAAAATATGTTTCTTTTCTCTTTTTTGTTAGTAATTCACTCTTATGTCGCCAAATAGCTCAATTAAATGTTCAGCGTTTGCCAAGACGAATGACGCGCAAAGCTATGTCCTTGCCAAACTGACTCCGCCTCACTGTGATACTGATAATACTGGTATTTCTGCATATTGTCGTCATTTTTTCATGTAAACGTAACTGGGTCGAGGAAAACACACCCCGTAGCAGTAAGTCAGCTGGACTTCTGCAACACTCAGCTGATCGTGGTCCCAAAGTTTCGTTTCTCCCTCTCAGTGCAGTTACTTTCGTTTTCCCCGCAGTAGCTCACGTCATAAACTGAGGCTGAATCCACAGTGAATCCAGGCTGTGTTGACTGTACTCGGTCCTGTTGGCTACAGAAGATGGCCTGTCGTCGCGCCATGTCTCGTCTTCTTCCTCAGTGGTCCTCTCGTGTGTTTTCAGTGGAGCTGAATGGAGCACCTTTCTACTTTTCAATACAAGAAAAGCACCGAGGAGAGGAAATACCACAAGTGTTCAGGCAAGTCCAAAACTACGATAGGTGTTACTCACTGCTTGTCTGCAGCAGCGACAGAATCAAACAGGCCAGGTTTCACTCGGAGCTGAAGGAGAAGTTGAGAAGAGACTTGCCCACAGAGTGCGACTTGTCCCCCATGTCCTCGTTCCTACCAAATGTCAAGGATTCTCTCGTGAAAGGCTACTTTCTAAAAGATATGTCTGTGGGTTCAACCCTGTCTGAAAAACTTCTGCGAGACGTAATCCAGCATGATCCGGTGCTTGTGTGTTCCTACTTAAAGAGTGAGGATGGACAGCTGTGGACTCAGCGTCTGTGGAGAGATGCAGGCAGCCACAGCGTGGAAACGTCAAAGGACTATTATGTTGTGCCATCAGAAGCGCCAGAATATCACCCAGCTACTCTCAACATCATCAACTCTGATGTTTTCTACAGCTTTGAGGAGGCGTATGAAGTCCTTAAAGAGGTTATTATTGTCCACTGCTTATCCTCTCCTCACAGGTTTAGGCTTCAAGATTTTGCATTTGACAGCTACACTCCAATCAGGAATACCCATGTGATACCCTTCTATGGTCAAAAGACATAACTTGTTTGATTAGACTGTTAGTTTAAGATAAACACAACATCCGTCTTTCTATCCAGAGGGAACATTTTGATTACCCATACTCTTCTTTTGAGGAAGAAGTCTAACTTTAGTCCAACTTTGTTTTTTTTTAAGTGATGATGGAGAGATGATGAGGCGTTTTGTGAAATAGTTCAAAATGCCGTCATCCACTCTTTTATAAATAGCATGTATAGCACATGGTACATTTGAAAATACCATAAATGTACGTTATGGCATGTAATAGCCTGACTAGATATAGCAGTTATGTCTACTTGTAAAAACTGTATTTTCACTTGTGAGAGATGTAATTTTAGATTTCCACTAGCTATATATTATGGGTATCCTAAATTGAAATGACAACAAGTGACAGTATAGTTCAGGTATAAATATTAAATGTAAAAACATTGTTCCATAGACTAAATAGATACAGATATCTGCAACTCAATTCTGACAAAATGAGCATTTATAATACCCACACTGATATCTCACCAATCCTCACATGCCTTCCCAGGTAAATCTACCATTAGCAGCTCATTCCTACAAGAACAAGTGACTTTGCTAATGCTGAACATGTGTATTAGACCTCCAGTTTCAGATATCTGCAGTATCATTCCTTCTAAGCAGAATGAGCTTTTTAGATTTCATAAAAACAAACTCCCATGTCAGATATCAATAATGGAACTGTTTGATAATTAAAAAGGGAAAGAATTATATTGCAGGTGTTGTTTAAGAATAACACCAGAAATGAAAAAAACATGTATACCAGTAGTGCTATATATGTCAAAACTGCTTTCTATAGGGAGTAAAATGTTTATGATCAGGATTCTTATCATAGATATCAAAAGCTGCATCTTACTAGTCATACATGTGAAAATGTGAATGTGAACACTTATCCAAAATGTTCACTCTAGACAGGAAGACTGATATTATGATTATCTGAAAAGAGCAAAGATTTAAAAGTCTGTTGAGAAATTTGAAACATATTTGTCAAGCCATAAGCTCAGCCAGAACATAGCAAATAAAAGTATTCAGCCACTACATATATCAGAGTTATATATCAGATGTGGGTAAAGCAAACCTTCCCTATAACAATATGGAAACAGCAGCAGACATAAACATTCAGTCATTATAATTGTTACTTTTCTTTAGCAATTTAAAGAGTAGGAAGCGGCTGAAAACTGTTGCTTTAGAAGAAAAATTCAACATAATAGTTAAAAAACGGTTAAAGCTAACAGCTCTTGTCTTCAGGTTGCCAGAGTTTTGTTTGTTTGTTTGTTTGTTTTGTTTGACACAGGGTTTTACTAAGGAATAGGGTTTTTATGTCCCTAAACATGTTGGCTGTCCTTTTCTATTTCAGCTGCTGGTCAGTTGTGGAACTGTTAAAAACTAACAAATGTCAGATAACCTTTTATTTGACTGATAAACTGGAAGCTGGCAATGAGTCATCCTGAACAGTGCAGCTATGCTCAATTACTTTATGTACAAGAAACTGCAGAATGGCGCACCCGTGTGGCAAAGGAAGGTATGGTCGTGTGCACCAAAGAGGCAATAGCATTTTGCATTTACTCTCAGTACCAGGTGGTTCATTACTGTGTGTATCTTTGACTTGATCCTGCCTCCTCAGCAGAAAACTGATCATGTCTGTTCTGCAGAGCGCTGACATCATCCCAGAGGCGACATCTGTTCTGGAGTTGCTGCCCAGCCGAGCGAAGGCCAGAAGTAAACCAGACTTCCCTGTTATTGTCATAGAAGGCCTGGATGCCACAGGTTAATGCCATTACTTTATAAATGAATACAGGAGTAGTTTGATGTATAGATGTCTGGCTAAAGTGATGGCCCGTTGTTGTCTGCTGGAGCCATTATCTGCCAGTGAGTCTGGCCTAATGGAATATCATGTGTCATGACCTCAGAAAAGTTACATCACTGTGGAAATGGTTTATTGAAGAGCTCAGTGATCTAATAGTCTGTGCAAACCTCATGAAAAGTTAGCAGTGTGGGTAGAAAGGAGCTTTAAAAGTCACCCCAGTCTCTTGATGCACTTAAAATACGGCGGGTTCTGCCTTTTTTGCTGTTAGACTATTTGGAGTTTGAGCTTTGTTTTTGAACTCACTCTTTTCTCCTCACAGGTAAGACCACGCTGACTGAGTCTCTTAGGGATACTCTTGGGGCTGCTCTTCTTCGGTCCCCTCCCAAGTGCCTTTCCCCCTTGAGGGCCTGCTTTGATCGGGAGCCGCCCCTCATCCGCAGGGCCTTCTACGCTCTTGGGAACTACATCACAGCTGAGGAAATAGGCCAGGAGGGCATGAAGACACCTGTCATCGTTGACAGGTAAAGGCAGCTGAAGTGCTATGAAGTTTGCCTGTTTTTTTGACCTGTTTGATAAAAAAAGGGACAAAGATCCTTTCCCGAGGGAGACAAACCTTGACTTCAGCGCGTGAAACCCCTGCTCCTGTACCTGATCATCCATCTATCTATCCAGCTTCAGCTTTGAAATCTATTTTCCATTATCTGTCCCCAGGTTCTGGCACAGCACAGCAGCTTATGCCATTGCTACAGCAGTGAGTGGTCCGGTGTGCAACCTCCCAGCAGACAGCTCAGCGGTCTATAGGTGGCCTCGGGACCTGCTGCAGCCAAGCCTGGTGGTCTTACTCACCTTGGACCCTGAGGAGAGGAAGAGAAGGCTGAGGGATAGAGGTGAAGGAGAGACTGCAGAGGAGCAAGAGCTAGACCACAATCAGCTTTTCAGACTCAAGTGAGTAATGTGTATAATTTATCAAGTTTGCATTTTGGCATTAAAGGGACAGTTCGCTTTTTTTCTATTTGGGTTGTAAGAGAACATCATATTTATAATCCAACAGACCAAAAGTTGTACAGGATGGAGACTCTTCAGCAAATGTACATTGCACCATGAATAACTTTTCTTAAAGGTGTCTTGAGATTGTGCTACCTTAACATTTTAACTATCTGTCTCAAGTCATCCATAACCCGCAAAGCAACCAGGGTGGATAACAACAGAAAAAAAGACGAAGAGAAATCTCAGTAGACACACTTAGCTGTGTGACATGTGGACAAATGTTGTTCAGCCTGTGATGAAAAAAAGTTCCTTCGGAGTGTGAGAACATAAAAAAAAAAAAACAACAGATGGAGGTTCACACTGTACTGCTCGTTTCACTGAGTCAGGTCAGCTCAGCTCTGTCTTAGTCTGATCCATCAAACACTTAACAATCAATTACTGTCCCGTGGGGGGAAGCGGCTGATGAGAAAGAACAGGTGATTAGTTGCTGAGCTGTTGTGCTCCATTAAGCCGGTCAAAACTCGCAGACACTGGCTGGCCTGATAGTCGCTGCGAAGACAGGTCGATGGCTACTTTCATTCATCCTCTGTCCTGACATAATGGCCTTTCCACATGGGACGGCCAGATGTTGGGCCAGCAGAGAGAGAGAGAGAAGAGAGGCCACTACTGCTTAGAGAGAGAGATGGAGAGAGGGTGTCTGCTTTTCCATTTGTCTCAGGAAATGGCCATCTGTGTTGTTGAATTTTTTCATCTTTTGTCTCTTTGACCGCTTTTCTCTTTGTGCGCCAAATCAGTGAGCAGCTTAATTACCCAAAGGTGTCCTGAAATGTGCAATGAAAGTGTTGTTTGTAATGTGTATATGCCTACTTTTCTCAGTTGTTGAAATGATGCTTGTGTGTGTCTCTTCAGAGTGGAGGAGGCTTACCGGAGGATCAGCGGGCCAGCCTGCATCACCGTGGATGCTAGTCCTCCTGCAGACCAAGTGCTCCAACAAGTGCTGCTTTTAATTAGGGGCAAATGCCACTTGTAAACAATCATCTCCATCTCCCCCTGCTGTCGGCCAAGCGTTGAGTGGATGCAGTACCTCTCTTTAACCACTGGGTGCCAGTAAGGTGTTGTAAATGTGACAGTGGGGGGACTCGGACAGTTTGGGCTTAGCAGGGGAGATACTGCTCAGGATGAGTAAAGGTTGAATGACCAGGGAGCAAAACTACAAACAGACATGTGTGCAAGCTTAGATCTTGATTTAGAAACACACAAATACATTTACAAAGTGTTGTCAAGGAGGAAATTTAACTGCTATTGGAACTTTTTTGAATTCAAACATGGTGTAGCTGCATTTATCAACAGTCGCTAATTATTCCTTTAAAACAGATAGAGGGAGATAATTTTCCAAGTATTAGTTTGATTTCATTTAAACACAAACAGAGAAATGAAAAACAAGAAAAATGGACCAAAACAAAATGAGCGAAAGCCACACAAGAATAAAAACACTGAAAAAAATATTGTTTACATCAAGATAAAAGAAAGAAGCTTTAATATGTTTCGATACAGTTTCAGAATAAAAGAAAGTTAGACTGAATATCTGTGGGGGGTCTCTCTTTGATCAAAATATGCCTCATATAATAGAGTTTCTTTGACTTGTTTTATAAACTTGTGTTCTGGCTTGCTTATATAATTGCTAAATAACTTTTTATGAATATTTTGTTTGCCATTTTACAAAAAGTGGTCCCCTTTGCAATGCTCTGCACATACCAGCTCCCTTTAGTTGTGCTGTGTGGTATTGTCACAACTGGTGCCCCTTTGTATTGATAACCTGTGTGGCTCACAGTGCAGCTGAAGAGAGCACATAAAGTGCTGTTTGTCCTTAATGTTCTCATGGGCACAGGCACTCACAAGTCTGCACACATAATGCACACATGCTCACCTACTCCTGCTAAAACACACACATACACACACACACAGGCCTGCACGTTTACTAAGAGCACATCCTGTAATTCATTTATATATGGAGGAAGTGTGTATTTGGCCTATGTGATGGGAAGATTAATTGGAGGTTTTAGTAATTATGAGCTTGGCAAAGCTGCGGGCTGGAGAAGACAGAGTGACCCATCTCTTTTACTGTGATGCATCAGCAGAGCGCCAACCACTGCAGACCCTATTCATATGGCAATTAATGGAGCGCTGTATATCAATGTCATTCCAGTGCTCCCCCACATAAGCACATGGATTACTCCTACTACCAATTACAGCAATCCAATGTTTTACTGAGTGGAGAGGTGCTGTGGATGCAAATCATAGCATCACATGTAATCAAATAAAACTAAAATAAGGTGTGATTATGTTTATGGAGTATGGATTCCTACACGAGGTAAGTATCTCAGAGCATTTTATTGAATTCATAAGCCCTCAGCTGCCCGGATGACACAAAATGAATGTAGCATGGTGCAGTGTGGAATTTTGATTGCCATTAACACGGTAGCCTGTGTCTCAGGAGAGGCCAAAATTTATGAAGTAAGAGAGCAAAGCAATTATGCATTACGCCATACATCATACCTGAATGCAAAGTTGTTGTGTGAGCCATATTTCCACGTCAGATGTTGTTATGCTTTGTTATTCTTGGCAACGAAAAGTGAGCGGTGCTATCGTGCCATTACTGCCCCATAACACTCCTGTAATATGACATTAATGGCCCATAATCACGGTGCATTAAGCATGCACCCAAATAATTCTATTTACGGGTTTTATAGTGTTTTTACTTATTAAAACATTAAGCACTAGTTCGGTTGTTTTTGTCAGACAGCCAAGAGACACTTACTCCAGAGGCTAAACAATAACAACTCACATTCACACACACAGAAAGTCAGTGTTAAGAGCAGAGGTTGGAAGGAAAAGTTTTTAATTCAGACAACTTGCTTTCAATCTGTGACCTCAGTACTAAAGTTGCAAAATAAAAGTCCGAATGGAAAAAGCGTGATCTGTCTTAAGAACTGCAGGATATATCCACAAGTACATGGTGGACTTGCACTGCACAGGCACAAACGAGCCGATGAGCACACACACACACACACACACACACACGCATAGCCACACACACACACACCTCACCCTGTATGGGGCCACTTTGCACTACACTCCTCAACTTCAATATTTCATCTGCACAACAGAGCAGGAGCAGCGGCAAGGAGGAAAGCCCTCCATGAAATAATTAAAGATCCAGCAGGGATGCAGCAGCACAGCAGCCGCCGTCCCATCCTAAGTAATAGATCAAATGAAAGCTGTCCCTCAGATCATTAATAATGAGTGTGGTATGGAGACTGAGGGGTGTAAGGGAGGGGGAGTGGGAGGGCAAGGGGGCTGGTACAGGTTGGGAGGGAGAGAGAGAGGGGGCATTGCGGAAGCATGGTGTTTTTATGTATGAGAGTGTGTGTGTGTGTGTGTATGTTAGGAGAGTGGTCGGGTGGGGGTGTGAATAGTAGTCTAGGTCCCCTGGCAGAGACCCCGGTGGGCCCCACTTGGCAGCCACATGAAGCGGCATGGCAAGAGGAGTCATGCATATGATTTGGCAAGCAAGTGTCTGCCAAAGTCTAAAGACCCCTACAGCAATGTCTATATACATCCCATGTCAAATAAACATCATTTAAACACAGTGAATGGGCAGGTTAATAATGTTCCTGTCAATGACTGAGTGCTGACTGCATACACAGTATATAATGGTGGATTTTAGGGGAGAGCTGAGTCTATAACAGGCAAAGGTGAGATGTCTGGAATGGGGGAGGGGTGATAAAAAGGGGAAGAGGAGTCAAGGGGGGGAGACTGGAATTGAAGGAGAGGATGTAGGATGGGGGAAGATCTTGCGGATGTTGTCATCTGTGGGCTCAAGTCACGTTAGATCCCTCCAGCTGGCAGGTACAGCGCATTCAGATACCCTCAAATACAGTATGGCGTATTCTCTGAGCAGCTTCAAATAACATCTGAGATTTTCTTGGATATTTACCAACTCCTGAAACAACTGCCAGGGTTGTGCATGAAGGCATTATATTAGAAAAAACACATAAACAAAATGACAACAAAAACTCAAATGTATGAGCTAACATTTAAAACCATAGTTTAAAGGTGCTGTGAGGAACTTTCATGTGTGGAGTTTGGTATCTTTGGATGAAACAAAGAGTGAAGGCTGAATTTCCAATCGGATACTGTTATAAAGATGTGGCTCTTGTTAAAATGTACATTTGGTCATGTATTTATTTGTAGCGTACATAAAATTATTAACTGTGTGTTACAATTGCAAAACTTTGATTTATTATTGTTTGTTAGCAAACCCGTTACAGCTCTGGTGTCATGATTTGTGCCCTGGCATCCTAATAGGAGTTTAAAAATTTAAAAATTGGACAACAACAATACTTAAAGCTCCTATAGAAATCTTATTCCCACTTTTAAATAGACCAAAATTCATGTTAATGACTTTTCATAAAATCCAAAAGCAAACAAGGCCATCAAGATCAAGATGAGAGATTTTTTGTATCGTGATTTTCAATACCTGAAACCTTTGAGAGGGGGTAGGTGTCAGCCAAACAGCCAAGGGAACAGCCCTGTTTATATTTTCCACATGAAGTATTGACAATAAATGATAAATTTGACCATCAAAAGTCGGCAGAATGAGATTTTCTGGTCAAAAATCACTACTTAAGTATGTAGAGGACAAAGTAAGACTGGGTTGTCCACAGAGGGGCACAAAGTGAAAGTTTCTCACAGGAGCTTTAAACAGAAAATGTGCATCTTTTCCTGTATTTTGCTTCTATATCAACTATGAATACAAAACATTATGTAAAAAGGACAATTTTGCTAACTTACTTCTCAATGCCAAACTAAACAAGCAACATTTTTAATGATGCTACGACTGACTGAGCTCTTCACATTGAATAGGCTTTTGTCATGGGCAATCCAACCTGAAGATTTTAAAGAAATAACCATTCTTATCACTAAAAATCTCATTTTGATATGTTGGTGGCAAACAATTCAAAATCAGATAAAAATGACTCACTGCATCTTTAAAGTAACCATCTTACTGCATGTAGCCTTATAATTTAAGAACTTTAAGAAGGTATAAATTCATATCAGTGAGTGGGGGAACTTAAATATATTTTCCTGGCATTCTCACATAATTTTAAGCTACACTTTCTACCCAAAATTTGGTCTGACAAGCTCTATCTCCACTTCAACCCCCCCCCAACACACTTTCCTAGCTGCACACATAAACACACCACATGCATACGCAGCACCACCACCTCCCCTCTGAACACAGCAGGTGGTAGCAGACACCCCAGCGCCCTTCTCTGTGAATGACGGCTGGTGGGATGTAAAAACATGAAGGCTTTAGGAGCTGAACTGAACGGTGCTGAAAAACATACAGCAAAGCAAAAAAAGAAGGAGAAAAAAAGAGGTGGAAAAGGCAAAAGCAAGGCAAAGACGGGGGAATTAGTTTGTAGGGAGCCAAATAAAAAGAAAGTTTTGAAAATATCCCATCAAAAAACAGATGTATAATTCAGCAGCTTTTCATCATCATGCTCAGCCTTTTGTCATGGTGTGTGAATAGTTATTTGCAGGGGCGAAAACAGCAGCTGAGTGGATAGGTGCGGGTATTAGGCGCAGCAGGCTGTGTATTCAGGATGCCATTATATATTCAGGTTGTGCTTATTTTCTGATGTTTTCGGGGGATAGGTGCTGTACAGTCTGTGAAGATTGCATGGAACCTCACCAGTTCTGCCTGGCGGCTGTTGAGGAGGCTTCACCAGGAACGGTTAAATATTTAAACACTGCTGTGAGATCTCATTAAAAACGGCACATCAGCCCCCATAAGGCCCCCACAGCACTCCCTCACACACTCCCGAAAAAACCCAGTTAGAACTCAGTGGAGTGTGACAAAACAGTTATTGTCTATTTACTGCAGAGAACTCATGATAAATCATCACATCCTGTCAAATAAGGCAGCTGGCAGCAGGGCTGACAAGTGGTAAGTCGTCATATCTGGGAAAGAAAATGATTGAGATTCAGCTCGGTTTTGACAGCTGCAAACATGCAGAAATACTCTGAAAACAAAACAACATGACAACTAAAACCAGACTAATATTTCCATAACACACATACCAAAACAAGACAGAGAACAAACTTTGGCTCTCTGGAGTCTTCGCGCCTTCTCACAAAATCTGGGCAATTAATTCCAACTCTATTGTTTGGGGCTTTCCCTATTTTTAGCCTGGCTGCCCTCTCAAATAAATTGATTTCCTGTGGCGAACTTGGAATGTTCCTTGTGTGCCATGTTTTTTTTCCTTCCCCCCCTTCCAAACACAGAAATACCGTCCTTCTTCCCCCGGAGGAATAAATCAAAGGCAGCGCTGCCAAGTTGTGCGCTGTATGTGCATCTCTTTTTATACTTGAAAATTGTTTATTTTTGTTTCAGTTCCATTAATGCTTAGGCATGTCTCCTACTTTATCAGGCATCAGCAGACAGCTGAGGAGCTACTTGTTTGACAGGCGAGTGGCTGACTGACTCTCCAAATACTTAAACTGACTCACTCTCTC